AAAAAGGGAAAATTTGCAGGTAATGCCAGTCATGCAAGAGCGAAGATCTTTTTTACGTCTAGTACCCAAGAAAAGCATGCTCCTTCATGCGAATGCAAGACATATTGATCACGATATCCCTTGACCGAGCAGCAAGAACGGAACCAAAAAGGAAAAGAAGAAAAAAAAAAAGTCAGTCAAATCGTCCGCAAAATGTCGCGGGTTTTCAATCAAAAAATTGCCCAGAATGAACGCGACAATATGCCTTCCCCATATGCGCCATGCAAACGAATCATGCCAAATATTCGTAAATTGTACACATCATCTCTCGTCAACAACCGTAATCGGAAAACTTTTCAACGGCGCTGTCTGCAGATATCCAAAAATTCACAGGCTGAGCTGATCAACGCTCCCAACCCTCCCCCCCAGCCTACCTCCGCCCTTGGTAACCATCCCGAGCGGATAGAACTTCTCCTCCCCACACGCATTGCGCCCACCGATATACCACTTCTCAGAACCCAAGGCGTCCCGGAACCCACCGCTCCCACTGCTGCTATCGCTACCACGGCGATGTCTATTGTGCGGCACTGGGATCGGGGTGGAACTAGCAACGGGAGAGGCGGCAGTTGATGCGCCGCCCAACGCAGTGGTAGACGTGGGCGTCAGGGAGGAGCGCGGCTGTGAGCGGGCGGTGGAGGGTGAAGGGGAAGCAGAATGCGAGTGGTTGTGGCTATGGTTATGGTGGTGTCGGCCGCTGTGGTGGTGGTGATGGTGATGCGAGGAGAAGTGGCTTGACGTTGATGCGGCCACGGCAGCCTGCGACGGGCTGGTCGACATGCCGTTTGAATTACTACCTCGTCCAGCGGTGGCGGCGGCGGCAGCTGCGGCTGATTTGGAGGTTATGGTTCGAGTGTTGGACGAGGATGAATTCGCAGAACCGACATGAGTCGGTGAGAGGGGAGCGGATGGGCCTGGAGAAGGCGATTTGGCGACCTTGTAGGCGGATTGGGCGCGGAAGGCGGCGAGGAAGTTTGCCAGGAACGGCCTGTTGGTGGACATGATGATGGTCCTGGGCTGTTCACCAGCCGTGAGAGAGAGCAGCAGAGAGGAGGAGAGATAGGCTGGCTCTGGCAAACAGAGATATGATCAAGCGGGGTCTGCGGATGTTGATATTAGAGCAGTTGATGTCTGGGGTAAAAGAGTTTCCAAACCGACTTCCGCCGTGCCAAGAATCTGCGTCATCGGACTTTGCTTGACCGACTTCACCCGCAATCATTTCGTCTCCGTGTCGCTGAGGCACACTTGCATTGATTCTGAATTAAAAGAATCACTGCTAGCAGCCTCAGTGCGCCTCTCGCTTTGGCTCAGTAATGCCGCCAACAAATAGCACTTGATCTTTACCGGCAAGCCTCACCGCCTGAAGCGCCGTACATTGCACATAATGTTCACTCGCCTACCACAAACATGGTGCAAATGTTCCTGGCTTCCTATCCGCATCGCAATTCTCCAGCTGATCCCAAATGCTAGCTAAAAACTCTTGGCTGAATGTGGAAAGCCCATGCGACAGTTTCATGGTGGAAGACACGTACAGGATACGCTTCACGAATGTGTCTGCTTCCTGATACTGTGCGTCGTCAGGTGCATCATTTTCATGAAATCTCGAAAGCAGTTCAAACTGTTTGCGTCCATCCTAGTCGATCAAGATTTGAGCCAGATACAGCTCCGTGGCACTTTCAAAAAGAAGTGCCTTGCGCTGGCAAAAGGCTATCCAGGCCCCTGAACAGAAACATTCCAACGTCAATCCACACTCCGCCGTACAAGTAAAGTAACGGGAGCCGAATGAGGTCGCCGCTATGCTGCCCGAACGTGCGGTCCCGTCATCGTCTTGTTTAATAGCGCCCCGGGAAGGAGAAGATGGAGGGATATATTTTAAAACATGCGTGGCTGAAACGTCGACGAGGTCCAACACTCACACCGTCTATGATGGGACGAGCTGTCGGACCCAGCTGATGATACTCCTTTGGTTCCAGTGCGGGCTTTGGGTGATCTCCCCTGGTCCCAGATTGCCCAGACGTTGAGCTCCGAGGAAGTTGTTGGTTTGAAGACTTGCAGATCTGCGATTTATCTCGGAATCGGACCCGAGATCGCTTGAAGCAACGATGAGATGATTCGGGTGATTTTGAAGAAAGCCCATGACGAAGTTAGAAAAAGGGGATATGATGCGGTTGTTGTTTCAACTGGTGAAATGTTTCTGAAGCTGGAGAGAAATTCAGTTGTAGCAGACAGATGATCTTCACAGCAGCTCAGCAAATTAAATGATATAGGGCGGAGACTGCCTGAATAAACAAATCTTTTATATGCTAGCGCATCAAGAGCGCCTGTTTTGAGAAACCGCGTTATCTCATCAAATATATTTTCTTTGTCCTATAGTCAAACCAGCTGTTTGTAGCACCTATAGTCCTTTCTCCAAAGTCAATGGCCCTCTCGCCGACCAATCTTTTTCAGGTTTTAGGACTAACCTACCACATTGGGAGTACTGATGGATAAGCTGTATAAGTGGGTGCAGAGCAAATGCCATAAGGCTGTCCAAATGATTCTATCAACCTTTGGATGACTGATAGGCTAGTACCCATTAGAACAGGTAGACGCAAACGCCAGGCATTTATAGCTACTGGCCCTTCAATGACATTCATCTCAGTTCTCTTTTGGGTTCATTGGGTCAAAAGGCAAGGCACTATACTTAGGTGCGGTGGTGTTACATGGAAAAGAATTGACCTTGTAATAAGAGACTGGTATATTGCCATTTATGACCACTTGCTTGCAAGCTCATTTGTCCAAAAAGAAAATCTTTGCATACTCCGTGAAAACGCTTAGGGAGAAAGAAAGGAAGAATCAAGAAAACGAATAAATATACAAGACTACCCCAAGAACCTCCTAAAATGCAAAAAGCCAGTTCATGTATGTACCTTCCGAGTAAACAGGGTATTAGGGTAAATGTACCATTTATGCAAAGGTTATGTCGAGACTTGTGAGATCAAGATTGTTATCCGGAGGAAAGGTAGAGCATCGCCAAAAAAAGGTATACGACGAGAAAGGATGCATTATAAACACACTTCCAGTCGCCAACTAGTAACGAGATTATGAATTCCAGTTTCCGCGCTGGTATCTAGGCAACGATTCTCCTCCGATTTGGGGCTCAGCTCCAGTAGAGGGATGGCTGATGATAATATCTTCCTCTGTGAGAACTGGCGCGGAGGGTTCGAAATTTGAGGTAGCATCGAGTCCAGCGTCGTGAGCGTGAGTGTACGAATCGGGAGGAGCACTAGCTTGATTAAGGAGGCGTTGCCGCTCAAGTTCCTGTTTATCGTCTGGGGCGTGGGATTGGGCGGCGGGAGTGTTTGCATGCGCATCGCCGGAAGATTCTGGCCAGGGGTTAGGAGGGGGAGGAGAAGAATGAACAGGGTGGAAAGACGCACGTGAATGATCGTTTGCGGTTCGGTAGGCTGGAGTAATCGTATCCGTAGAAGAGCAGATGCAGCGGGCGAGCCGTTCCGAGGCAAGGAGTTAAAGTCGCTCTGGTGTTGATGATCGTGAATATGTGAATAATGGGAATGGTCTTCGGAAAGTGTGGGCGCAGAAGGTTGTGCCAACAGGACGGATGATGGGCCGGCGGCAGCGTCTTCGTCCCCTGCAGGTGGCGCGCTGGGGAGAAGCATTTCTTCAGCACGACGTAATCTCGTCTTTTCGTCGACAACCTCTTCTGGCTGAGCGGGTGGGATGAAAGTCGGAGGTGGAGACTCAGTGGAATACTCGCTATGTGGCGGAGGGTGACTTGACCAGTCTGCACCTCCGTCAGCGTCGTATTCACTGTGCTGCGGTGGATGCTGATCGACAAACTGAATGCGCTGGGTTGTAGGTTGTTGGTCGAACGGTTCATCTTGAGAAGTAGACGGCGCCTGAGTTTGTTCAGACTCTGAAGGAGCGTCTTGACGCTGAGTGCGGGAGCTATCCTTTGATCCGACAATTATCTCAAAGGCACATGCAATGACACTTTTGTCTCTTCGGACCTGATCAGTGTCGAGAATATTCCCAGCCACGTTGGAAGTCGTCATGCCCCGTTGAATCTCTGCCGCCGTATTCACCTTGCCACTGCCATACAGATTATTGGTCATCATGTTCAGTCGCGGACGAAGCCGGTCCTGGCCGGCTAGTTTGCCCCGTATATCCATCACAACTTCGACGTAGTAACGGAAGCTAATCATAGCTCCAGGTACACGGGTGATTGTCGGGAACGCGTCTTCAGGAATACGGATCGACGTTTTGATATCGGCCACCATTGTACCGGGGTCGACGATTAGTGGACAGAAGAGCTGAGATAAGTCCTTACGAAACACACTACTCGTTCGGGTCACACCAAAACTCAAACCACCTAGGCCGGTGCGTGATTTTGGATAGTAGTCCTCATAGACGGGCTTTTTACCCTTTTCAGGCGTCCCAATCGGCAACTGAGGGTACATGTCGATGCGTCCCTGGCGGTAGAGAGTGATGATGACTCCACTTGGACTTCTGATCGGCTTTGTATGCTTTATCGAGATATTGACGGGCAAAAGGTCCCCTGGAAGCACACCAGAGCGAAGTACTCGAGTTGTAGCAGTAATTTCTTGGCTGGCTGACGATGTTGCACCATTCCACAATTCGTCGCTTCGTTGGGCCATGCACCTCGCAGAACTTGGCTCGCTGACGATTTGGAAGCTCTGGGTGCTGTTACTCACACAACTCGAATTACTCCGCTCGCTCGGTACAGGACTCAGCGGCGGTCCCGGATCGGAAGATTGGGGGTCAGTAGACGATGCTCTCGCAGGGGCGTCGCTGGAGGTGGAGTTGGTTTTGGTTTTCGATCTGGATTTCGACCTTTTTGATACGGGCTCCAGGGAAATAACCCGGGGTTTCGGCACGGGTAGATTTGCTACGTCGATGGCTTCAAGAAGAAGAATGCGCTTGTCACAGGTCATGGTCGGGGAGATTGTAGTTGGACGCGTCAAGGTGGACGTAAGCACATAGGAGATTGTTCCTCGTTCGAACTAAAGAGTGAAAAAAAAAAAAGTCAACAGAAATGAGCAATGATGTGAAAGCAGAGCCGGGTGCACCTACGTTGATACTACTTGGTAAGCCATACGGAGGGAAACACAGCTCGAAGCGAAACTTGTATATTCCCTCCTTGAGGCGACCATCCCCGCATAGCACAACTTCGTCCTCGAACAACGTAGCCAGGCCGTTTCCCAAATATTCGCCATTCCTCCTTCCCCTTCCTGTCGCTATGAAGCCGGAATCTTCAGCCGTTTCACCCGGAGCGACGGGATTCTTGTAGACTTTGGCGTAACCATGCAGGCAGAGGACGAGATGCGTGATCCGAACAGGTTTGACGACGGTCAAACACACGGCGCCTTTCACCGCATCTCCAGGTGAATACGACTTCCACGGATCGTCCGGCTGGATGTAGAACTCGGAGATATTCCGATTTCGATTGCTGAATCGGCTCGTAAACTTGGACAGGATGGAGCGTTTTCGCGCGGGAGAAGCAGAAGTCGCCTGGCCATTGGGGCAGTCTAATTCCATGGCCGGTGCGAAAGATGTGGCTCCATAAGCGTGCTAGATGCGCAAGCTACAAGGCGGTGCGGGCTGGCCGGATGGAGGAACGAGTCGGGCGGAGGTGGGAGGGGGGGGGGGCGGACGGACACGGCGGCGGCGCCAACGTCACCATGCGATGGCGAGGAACCAACGATTAACGACGGGAGCGGTGGAGCAGAGAGCGGACGGTGTCTCGGGAGAGTTCTTGTCGAAGCGGTATGTACAGGGCGTTGTGCGGGTGTGAATGATGGCGGGCTACGGAGGGAATCGAGCGAGCGAAGTCAGAAGCGGCAGCGAACTCGAGGGCGGCGACAGGGACATTCGAACAGCATTGTTTCAGCAACATGTAGCAAGATCCAGAAGTGATCGCAGGCAGAAAGGAGGCAAAAGCGACAGCAAACCAAGATGCACAAGAGACGCGAGCAGGAGAGCCAGAGATGATGGAGAGCAGCGCTCCGAGCGTGAGGAGGAAAAGCGTGTTCAGGACTCGATGTGGAGATTAATATTGGGAACTTTTTGGGTCCAACCGCCAACCCTGCTGGTCCCGTATTGGCAAACTCTTAGTTGATGCTTTGCTTGACCTCCGTCCAGTCCCTGGTCTCGGTTGCTGCAGCCATCTTACGAACCACCGGTGGCAATGCACGGCAGAAACGGGCCTGCGGTCGTCTGCTGGGAGGGTCGAGACTCGAGAGCCAGCCCCCAAGGGCGCCGAGTGGACGCGGTGCGGAGGAGTGGCTCGCTTGGACAGGTCAAGCTTCGCCAATCTCGAGGCTTGTTTCGGCTTGTTGAGTCGCTTTTGAAATCTAGCGGTGTCATTTCTGAACTCTGAATCGGATTCCGTGAACCCTCTTCCCGCTCGCGAGCCCACCATGCAGGCCCCAGGAGGCTTCGGAACTGCGGGAATGCGACGAGCAGTTGGAAACGGCCATTGTTACTTTGATGCAGGGATATGACAACTGCAGCTGGACGAATATGATTGTTATAAACTGACAGCTGTACGCCGCGACTCTCGAACTCACTTATAAACTAGGTAGTTGGTCATAGATGTCGTTTCTAGAATACTGTTGTCCGGAATGGTCGCAGAACGAGGATGCACTCCTCCACAGACTCGAAATACCCATCAACCAACATTGTACGATTTGAAGTTCCAACTGGTTTGGACGCAAACAACCGGCTCAGAAGATGACTGGCAGGAGCAGCAGTCGTTCACCAATTAGAGAACAAACTCTTATCATTAAAAGCGCTATTGGCGATATGTTCGAAAGGCTGAAACCAAAAGCTCAACTGGATGGAGCACTCTGAAGAGCTTCTTGTGGGACAAAGCTGGTGCACCGAGCATGATGTGTGCATGATGAAGACCAACCAGTGGCCATCATAGTTGACAGCCTGCATCCAGAGACAGCCATGAATGAAGTTAAAATGCCACAGTGTCTAATGAAAATCGCTCAAGCTTGCCATCCTGGCTTGGACTTCACGCGTCTTGCGCGTTCTTACAATTGATGGGCCGTCGGGCCGTCATGCATATCTATTGAACTAAAGCGGAACCGTCAAGGACGCACGCCCTCTCAAGTTAAGTGTTTCTCGAGCTACCATAGAGCTGCTAGATGAAAGGGGCAGTTTCACAAGTTCTCTGAACAATACTGACTGAGGGAAGGCAAATGAGGCCATTTTGCGGAGTAGAAAACCTATGGCAATATTCATAAACCGATGTAGGCCCCGTTGTCTGACTGATCTAACATGCCGGATGGGGTTTTCATCCCGTAGAGAATGTTCGACAGCAGGTGGCCTACTGATTAGCATCAAGGGCTGCATTCAAGGACCCATCATTGCTCTGGCAGAAGTATTGATTTGCTCCCACAAATTCTGTTTGTTGCTCGTGTTGTAACATTGTAAACTTGAAAGACGATTTGCTTCCGCCAGCCACAGGAAGCCCTGTTGGCTAAGCTTTCTCGGTCGCCCGACTTGGGAAATGCTTGTCTGACATTCCTCCCAGCGCAAACGGTAAAAAAGAAATCTAAAACTCAATTTTTGGGCCTGGCTTTGTGATAGCAGGTTTATTTATTTCGATTGTTCTCTTTCCCCTGCTTCAATCCCCCGCATTTCCTCTTTCATTCGTGTAATCGTCCCGCTTCCCCCGTACACCATCCCGGTGTAGAGCATCGCGACACTCGCACCGGCATCCAGCGCCGCACGCGCCTCTTTGCCGTTTGTGATACCACCAGATGCAAATAATACCTTTGCCGGCCGGGAAGCCTGTGTTAGCGATGATGCATTTGCCGATGGGGTATCGGTGGTGTCATCAGCTACCGCTGTGTCGCTGCTGGCTTCTGGCTGAGCCCCGCGCATAGAATGGCTGTCGAGAATATTTCGATATCTAGAAACAAGAGATACCGTGCGATCGAACAACTGAGGGCCTGAGAAACCTCCCGTCTCCTTGAGGGTAGTTCGTTCCCGCTCGGACAACTGGTAACCCTTTGGTAACGGATCCGGTCGGCGGTTAGTAGTATTACCAACTATAACTCCGTCGACGCCAGATGCCCAGACGGCATCGCAGATCCCATTCACCTGCTCTTCACTATCTTCGTCGGGACTGACTTTCACCATCACATATGGCTTTGTGTGGCGATCGGTCTTTTGTGCTGCTTCGACGACTCCCTTTAATAGCTTTGTCAAGGGCTCGACGCGCTGTAAATCTCTCAATCCAGGCGTGTTCGGGCTTGACACATTGACAACAAGGATATCCGCATATTTTGCCAATCGGTCCACACAGTACACGTAGTCTCTTTTGATCGCTTCAATATCGTTGTCCGGGGTCGTCTTGTTTTTGGCAATCTGCACCGCCAATAGTTTGCCCTCCGCGAGACTACCTGGTGGAACGCCGGCAGCCCCGTCAAGCACTCTTTGTTCCGCGTCTTCACTTGATCCGTATCCGTTCGCATAGGCAAACTCACGCACCCGCTTTCTCAGTACGTATGCCATATGATCCGCTCCTTTGGAATTGAGTCCGTATCGATTGATAAGAGCATTTTGCGATGGGATCCGGAAAACTCGGGTCCTAGGGTTTCCTTCTTGTGGTAATGGAGTACATCCTCCTACTTCAACAATGGCGGGTCCAAGGTCAAACAGAGGATCGGGAATCTCGGCGTCTTTATCTAACCCGCCAGAGATACCAATTGGATTACACAGAGTGTACCCGAAAACCTGGAGAATACCCTCATAAGCGTCATCGCAATAATCTAACACTATAGGCCAAAACAAAACAAACCTCAGTAACCAACCTTCCATCCCCATCTGGATTTCCCCTCTCCCTCGGATGCAACCCAAACCGATATAGCCGCTTCAACATATCCACACCGGCATGGTGAGCATCCTCCGCATCCGGATACATCCATCGCAGCAATCGAGGTACCAAATATCGATGGGCACTCGCCCGCGTATCCGTCATATAAACATACCCGCAGCCCATACCCAAGACAGCCGCCGTCGTCCACAACACTCGTCGTAGCCGTCTCCCCGTTGAGGCGGTTTTCTTCGCAGCACTGCTAGTTATCGTCGCTGCAGCAGCTCCGGCAGCGGCGCTCTGCGCTTCTTTCTTTGCTGTGGACGCTGCATCGGAGGAATTGAAGCGGTTGTGGTACCGCGGGCTGCACGCTGGCCTGGCGAAATTGGACGAGAGGACAGCGCGGCAATTGAGCCGCGTGGGCCTGGGGAACATGCTCATTTATTTCCAGCCCGTGCGAGAAAAGCGCCGCAGGGCCAATTGGTGGATTGAACGATGAACAATTGGAAAACGTCGTTTTTGCGACTGGACTTCCAAAGCCTGTGGGATCAAAGGCGGGTTTCACGTGACGTCATTTTGAGTCTTGGTCGTTAACTTCAGACTTCAGCTTTGAGGGCTCACAAGGCTTGGGAAGTGCAAAATGATTGATGAAATGATGACAGGAAGAGCATATTGGGCCTCAGGATATTGCATTAGAACTGTATCTTGATCCGCACCGCCTCCGGAAATGCTCAAGATTCTTCGGACTCGCTTTTCATCTCGGCGATTTTGATGCAATGGCCAACTACGGAGTACATCCTGCGCTTACTGAGGTCGGATTAGTTTTGGATATTCCATGCCGAAGAACATGTGCCACAGCTCCCTGCCGTGCGTATCTTCAAGCCCTGGACACAAAATACCATAGTTTCATTGATTCGCACAGCATCGTCCCATCCACGCATATCCTGAATAACCAGTTTGGAGGACAGTCCGCATTGCGAAGAGGCTGTAAATTGAACCCAAGGCATTTTGATCCATAGTTTTTGCTTCCTGCTGGAATTCCCAGCTACATTGATACATCTGAGGTTCGTTTCGATGGAGGGCTGGGGTTCCCAGCCAATTTTTTATATTCGGATCAACCCAGCGTCATGGCCTTCCCATCATAGTGCCGGGTCGCTCGATGAAAGATGAGAACGACAGAGTTAAGTGGAGCAAACCTATTTGTATAGCCTCCTTATCTGGAACCGCCGAGTATGTATTAACCCAAGAATATTATTGAAAAGCACCGCCATTACCCAAGTCGTAGCCATTATTTACACAAACATGAGTTCGGTGGGAACACTTAGACGGAAATAGACTCCAGCTCCTGTAGCTTCTCTTTATCGAAGTTTTGACTATCAACCCGATCAATCCCTATTTGGACGCAATCCAACATATGATGTTCAACGTTGACCTTTGGCCCCTTGAACCACTTCCTTGCGTCTAGGATCCACCAAGTCAACACGACTAGCATAGGGCCGCCATAAACGACGCTGGTCCAATTCATTTGCTTTGGTCTGTGATATGTTTAGTCAGTTCCTAAGTCGGTATTATTGAGAGAAGGGAACCAAAAAGACACATCGCACTTACGTCAGTTCCGAGCCCGTGTGAGCGGGAAGACACAAAATTGGCAACATTAGAATCACGAAGGATACCCCTATCCCGCCAATGATAGGGCTATATTTCCCTAGGCTCCAAGGGCCAGGTCGAAACTTGTCTTTTACAACGAAGACTCGAATACCAATTGGAATCGAAAACGCGACGAAAGCGGCGATGGCGCCAATGGAAAACAAAGCACCCATCGCGAGGTCGCCAGCGAATATCAGCAGGGTGCACAGGATGCCAATTACACAATTAATCCACACTGCATTCACAGGTGTCCTAGTATGCTTGTTAACCCTTTTCCATACCCCGGAGAGAGGAAAACAATCGTCACGAGAATATGCGTAGGTTACGCGAGATGCCGCGATCATACAAGCTTGGCCCATCGAAAAGCCGCAAACGATTGTCAGTCCAAGGATCGCCACTGCCGTTTTCCTTGACATCACTTGGAACAAGTAAGACGCCCACGGCTGGCCCAAATCGGATGTTAACACCGCATTAATATCTTGGACGGTATATGCCACGACAACCTGGAGAAACCAGCCCATAACGCCGCCTATCCCTGAAGTCAGGACGATAGCCCTAGGGGAGGCGATGCTCGCATTGGAGCATTCTTCGCTCAAGTGAAACGGTGAGTCGTATCCAGACATCGTCCAAATAACACTGACAAATGACATTAGTACTGCGACTCCATCGGGGAAAGAAGTCCCTTTGAATATGGTTCCCCAGACTTCCTCGGACGAATTGAACTTAGGAGAATTAGTAGTTCCTGCTGGAATAGTTATGATAACGATGACTAGACAAAGAATATTAAAAGTCGATCCATACGAGTTCATCTCAGCGATCCATTTTGTCGGCATACTGCTGATGACCCCATGGAGTAGCATGAGGAAAGTGGTCAGAAGGAAGGTTTGATAGGGCGCTGGCACATAATTGGGATTGTAGATTGAACCAGCGGCAAGAATCATGCCTGCGGTTGCATAGTTGACCGACGGCGCTGCCATCACCTGGCCCAGCCAATTTGACCATCCAGTTATCCATGCCGCAAATGGACCCCATCCGCCCGGAGCTAGCACAGCAGCAGCGTAATAGAGACCCCCGCTACTTCAGGTTAGCTGTGAATGCTTTCTAAGGGCCAGGGGAAGGAATTACGTACCTGGTAGGCATGGATGAGCAAAGCTCAGCCATTGCCATGGCTACGCATTGAATGAACACCATTGCGATAATCCAACCCCATACCATTCCTGCAGTACCGGCATACCCCATGCCTGGAGTTCAATTCAGCCATCACTGTCAATCAAATCCACCGAGAGGTTGGAGTCACTACTTACCATACCAGAGGGTGCTCGCGAACGACGGCAGTAGCCCAAGGACGGAGAAGCTGACGCAGAAAGTTGTCCAAAGTGAGAATTCACGTTTAAACTCCTGCTTGTACCCGAGGGATACGATGACCCGTTCATCTTCATTCATCTTGGGGTCCACATTCAGAACATCACCGTCTGGAATAATGGGCATGTTTAGATGGCGGTGGTTTTGTCGGCCTTGAAGGTGGCCCGACGGCATGCCAATGAAGGACCTATGGTGACCATAGAGCTGAGAAAAGTGAATTCATTCAAGAAAGAGCACTCGCCTGTGGTCCCTCGTGGTAGGCGCGCGAGTCCAGGGAGGACTCAAAGTATAGCAGGAAGATGCCGTTCTATCTAGGCAATAGGAGATATATAACGAACGCTGAGCGTGACACGATTCCTTGTCGTGGTTAATTGGAGAATGTTGTCATAATGTGCAAAAAGCAAAATGTCGAATTGTCCCAGGTTCCAGGAGCAACCCCAGGTGCGTCCAACCGGAGACTAAGTGTGTAACGCTTTCCACACTTTGACTGGGAACGGTGTGCCCATCCAATTACCTAGTTTAGCCATGCCAGGAGATACGGGTGGCGGAAAGGGAACCGGTGTGGTGAGCGTCCATTTGTTGTAATTGGCAGGTCTTATTGAGACCCAGCCTAGAAGATAGGAGAAAAGTGGCTGCAAATATCTCCTCATTCTTGATCGAGATCGGCAATAAGCTCCCCACGCACCGAGCTTTGGGTCCTCATGCTGTGTATTTCCGCGATTCCGTATGCCTGCTTCAATCTTCCAGAATAGACTCTCAGTTCTAGCCCTTGTGCAATCCGTTTGTGTCTGCCTTTCGGTCCATGCTTGAGCAGCCTGCAGCCTACAAGCCACAGATCTAGCTACTATAAAGCAGCTCAAGAGCATAGCTCAGCTTGGCGGTTGCGCATCAAATATGCCACGGCTTTCTCACTGCTCTATCCTGATAGAGGATAAAGAATGGCCAGTAGGCTGTGACCGAACTAGAGCAGCTATGTTTCTTGATTGGAAGGCCTTTATCATCCATTCGGTACATCTAACAGCCACCACAAAGCTGATGATTAGAAGACCAGCGTCGAAATCTCAATGAAACAGGAGATATCTCGACTGTAGTACTTTTGGTGAAGTTGGCGATGAAGTGTGAATGGCGCTAAAGAGAATCAAGCAGGAGACACTAGGAAAGTTAAAAGCTATCAAACGTCCTTCCAGCCTTTCCCTCGCTTTATTCCTTCGAGCAATTCCAAATCAGCTTCTGCTTGATCAATGTTCGATGACACAGTATTTTGGGCAATACTGGATTAGTGCCTTTTGCAGGACTTCGGAGTCTCACGAGGCAGAGGGATTGAAAACTCAACCGGAGCTCCATTGGCGAGGAAATACTCAATTCTCCTGCCCTCTCCATCTATCCGTTTAAGCGGAAGGATGGAAGAAGGAGAAGACTTTGGCGATGGACGATCCACTAAACGGCTCAAGACGTCGCATGTCAATGAGTGGGTTCTACAATCGAACTCGCGTGGTGACAGCTCCAACAATCGGGCATTACAGTCGTTGAGTCGGTCTATAACTCCCCCCTTATCGTATCGGCGCCGAACCTCTGGAGCTTTATCCCCAATAAAGGGGCTGACAGAGGCGACAAAATCCTCAGAGCCAGTCCGAATCGAATCCAAGTTAAATGTCATCTCGTCCCCGGTGCAACTCACGCACATCCGTGACCTCTCTGACCAGTCTGGTCATAATGGTGACACTATCAAGCTGCGGGATATCCTAGGCGATCCACTGATTAAGGAATGCTGGCAGTTCAATTTTCTATTTGATATCGACTTTCTGATGGACCAATTTGATCCCGACGTGAAGAATCTAGTCAAAGTCAAAGTTGTCCATGGATCATGGAAGAAGGACGCTCCAAACAGGATTCGTGTTGATGTGAAGAACACCCCCATCTACTACCCACCTGGAGAATATTTTTCTATATTCCGTATCCTCGTTTATTAACATCCTCATTCTTGGCAACAGGAACAATGCTCCCGTTACCAAAATGTGGAGCCAATCATTGCGTACATGCCGGAGCCGTTTGGAACACATCATTCTAAAATGATGGTGTTAATACGCCACGATGACTGTGCACAGTAAGCAGGGATTTTGTGTGTGACCCTACCCAGCTGCTAATATTCTAGGGTTGTCATCCATACGGCAAATATGATTCCTGGAGATTGGGCAAACATGTGTCAAGCAGTTTGGAAATCGCCACTCCTTCCTTTGCTGTCGCCAAACAATGATCGGGAACCCTCGATTACGGGCGAAATTGGTAGCGGTCCCAGGTTCAAGCGAGATCTTCTCGCATACTTAGAAGCATATGGTCGCAAAAAGACTGGTCCCCTGGTCGAGCAACTTAAAAACTATGGCTTTGATGGGATACGCGCTGCCTTAATTGCCAGCGTTCCGTCAAGGCAAAGGTTCCCAAGCTTAGATTCTCGGAAAGAGACTATATGGGGCTGGCCTGCGCTACAAGATGTACTGCGCCGGATACCTATTCATAAACAGCAACCGTTACAATCAAAAAGATCGAGAATTGTGATACAGGTCAGTTTTGGTTATCTTTGGACGCCTGTGTGGAATTACCATTAACTTTAAGGCGCACCAATAGATTTCATCCATAGCATCTCTCGGCCAAAGTGACAAATGGCTTAAAGAAACATTTTTTGCCTCTCTATACCCGCACTCAGCAGCCGATGGGGCCCCTCAGCTCTCGATTATATTTCCCACGCCAGATGAAATCCGTAGGTCTTTAAATGGTTATGGTTCTGGTGGATCCATTCATATGAAGATTCAGAGCTCTGCGCAACAGAAGCAATTAGATTACATGCGACCCTATCTTTGTCATTGGGCTGGTGACTCTGAAAATAATCAGACACCGGTTTCTGCTACTGACGTGCTCACACACGACTCTGCAATTGACAGATACCCACCCAAAGCTACTCCCGTTCGGGAAGCTGGCCGTCGCCGAGCTGCGCCCCATATAAAGACATATATCCGCTTCTCAGATGAAGATATGCGTACAATAGACTGGGCAATGGTGACTTCGGCAAATCTGTCTACTCAGGCATGGGGTGCAGCCATCAATGCGAAACAGGAGGTTAGAATATGCAGCTGGGAAATTGGTGTGTTGGTATGGCCGGACTTATTTTGCAACGGGTCCGAAAGGAGGAACGAGAGTGGCGAAGAAAACAAAGACAAGGCAAAAAGTGATTATGCTCGGATGATACCCTGTTTTAGGCGAGATTCTCCTTGCCTAAGCGAAGTGGAAAGATATGAAATAGAAGAAACATCGAAGAAGGATGCTGATAACACCGGGGTGTTATCCACACTCGTTGGGTTTCGAATGCCGTACGATCTTCCTCTGAAGCCTTATTCCCCCAGGGATGTGCCCTGGTGCGCCACAGCAAGTCACAAGGAGCCGGATTGGTTGGGCCAGACATGGGAAGAGGGCTAAAATCGTTGCATACCATAGAATGGTTTGGCTGTTTCATATCAGCGTCTCATTGTATTATTGGCACAACTATTATAGTGCTTGGGACGGAGAATTTTGCCGAGCAAGGCAGCTGTATGAAGATTAATATGTATTGAATATGGCTTAAATATCATTACTTTGCTACTTCAAGCAGGTCAAGTGAAAAGATGGAAGGAAGCAAGAAAGAATAGAGGGGCTTGCATGCACCATGTAACATCTAGGACGTTATATATCAGTAGTTTTCTCTCTGGCCACACCCCAGTTTGACAACGATCACTAGCCATGAACGATTCAGCCTCTAAAATAAAAGAAGAGACGGTGGATATTTTCGTAAGTCCCAGAGTATGCTCCTAACCCAGCTATTGACCAAAGCCAGTGAAAACTGTGGCCGAAATCCCATCTCTGTTCTAGAATAAACAAAAGAATATCCCATTATTGAACATGCAGGGACACAGACTTATTTTCCAACCTGCTCTGGTTCCTTGGACTCATCATAGCCGTACTTGGCCTTCAATTTCTCGATCAAATCGACATATCTCGTCTGCGCCTCCTCAGGGCTAATGTTGTCATCGACGATGCTCTTCCACTTGTTGTATTTGTATTTGCCCTATCAAAATATCAGTAGCTGAAACTACTTCCGTCCAAGCAAACAGGCAAGGGAAGCGAGAATGTATGCACACCTTGAAATCAAAAGTTCCTGGGGCCGGGGCACTCTCGAACGGAGGGTCTTGCATGCCTTGTTTGAACAGAGCGTAGAGCTATATATGGTAAACCCGTTTGTCAGCCTCTTCGCACTCTTGAACTCAAGCCCTTTGTGCGTGCCGGTGAATGAAGCCAGAGGTTAAAGGCCGAAACACACGGGGGAAGTTCGTTGCGTACCATCAGCAGCTCGTCGTCTGTTGGTTTGGCGAGGAGTTTCCGGCTCGATTCAATAGCGGCCAGGAACTCGGGGGTCTTTTCAACAGCCATTGTAATGCTGTACCTTCGGATTTGTGGCTTTGGTTCTTTTCTTTTCGAAAAAGGGCTTCGGAGGTGCAAATGGTGATTGTAAGTGGGGTAGACGGTATTCTGGCTGGGAAGTGGGAGGAGGAGGAATGCAATGCTGGAAGAGATATCAGCGAAACCGCGCAAAAGTGGCAGGGATGGACTTCTGGGATGCTCCTAAAAAAGAACAGATTGATATCGGATCCCACCTTTCTTCCTTGGTCAAAGCGTGTGTGGCTTTACGGAGGAGGTGAACCCAATAATTGGCGGGGGAGGGGTAAAACTGCAGGGTCACGCGGGAGATGATGACATCTGTTCCGTCTGCTGTGGTCCGGCGAGCAATTATGCGACGAAAACTGTGAATTCAGCAGACAGTTTATGCAGGGAGGGTTGATATCCTGGCGATATGTGGCTGTGTCAATCTGATGATAAGAACAAAGCAGCTGGCTTCCTATCTGCAACTTTCAAAGGGAGGTCTGATAACAAGTCTGGCTTATGGGCATTGTTCTAAACCACCAAAAAGCCCTTGACACCTTACTTATTCTATGTTATCCTGGCAATAAATAATGTGATCCCAATTCGAATGCAGGTCAAAATGGCTGGCTAATAATATCCAAATCTCATGAACGGGAAAAAAGAGATCAGAAAGAAATGCTCGAAACATCTCCAATCACCAGTCCACTGCCCAGCCGTTCTTCTCCAGGAACTCTTCGCAGGCTGCTTTCAGTGCATAATTCGGCCTAACGTCCTTGGCAGTCATCGGGCTACGCGTGATGGGGTCAAATGGATTCTGCTGAAGGTGTTTAAGGATGCTGACACGGTCAAAAGAATGACCAGATGGAGTGACCACAGGATCATGCATGATCTCAAAGCTGATACTGTCGATGAGATAGTCAGGGACAACCTTGAGTTTCCCGTCAGTACGTTGAGTTTTGTCGAGACATATCAGGGGTGAGATTCTTCGGCTCAATACTCACCCTTTCTTTCATATCACCGCCTTTCGCGGCCGCGAATACTTCCCGCACATCCTCCACTTTCTTTCGCGCCTCGTCCCGCAATATCCTCTGATCCTCAGCATATCCAACCTCTCCAATCTCGGCCGCCTCAAACCGCTGCCGGAGCTGTTCTAATTCCCTCTCCAGGTCCGATTCTAGAAGTTCTTCCACTTGTCTCAACGTTTCATTAGTCTCTCTTAACCTCGCGCTTTCTTTTGCCGCCCAAATAGCCTGCTTAGCTCTGAGTATTGTTTTAGACAGCGGCTCCGAATTAGGATTCTTTGTCTCTATACTCGTTTTGTACGCAGCCAAGGCCACTTCGTAGGCTTCCGTAGGGCGAGAGAGCCCTAAGAGTGCTTGTGAGAGATAAAATTGTGGTTTGAGCGCGGCGGGGTTTTTAGGCGCGTAGAGGCCTATTGCGATGCGGGCATCATGTTCGGCGCCAGCCCAAGATTCGAGTTTGATTCGGACAAGAGCGCGATTGTTGAAGAGAACAGGGTCACCGGGGGTTTTCTGGATCCTGGATGATATAGTAGTTAAAAGGTGTAGCGCAAAAAAAATTGAAATAGTCAAATGCTCACGCTTGAGAATAAAACTCCTCTGCGCCTTGATAATCACCCGCTTTAAATAGCTCATTGCCTTTGAGCCTGAGCTCGTTTGTCATGGTCTTGCTGGATAATAGATAAAGCGAGTGTAGCTCAATACAGAGCTATACGGTGATGTTTAGTAGGGAAAGAACTGGAATTCAGACTTGACATGCAAGACACAGGGTGTCTTGTGAAGGAAGATATTTTATACTGGAGCCAATTGCTTGCTATCTCCGGCCGAAACTGATACAAACAACTAGCCGATCAAAATGGAAATCCTCAGGCATCATCCATTTCTCCTCAACATACATCAAGAGTGGAAGTCAGCAAACAAAGATCCATCGACCATTATTGCCATCTTGATTCTTGACTCGGCGCTCTCGCTGCAGAAGAGGGACCTCATGGTCACAGATACGCGAAGAATCGAATGGAAGCGTTTGAGGAAAAGTGTGGATTACAAATCAGGACAAAATTAGCTAGTCCATATGAAGCTTAGTGGGCGCACCCGGAGGGCGAGGGCTTGGCACTGCACTCCCGGGCTCTTGGCGAGAACGCCGGGCGGAGAGCGGGATCCGGGATCAGGAGCAATGCTGGCCGCGGACGGCAGTTGGGAAGAGTAGGGCAGCTGTTGAGAAAACAATATTATTCCCTAACTCATGGCATGTTGTGTAATGTCTCATTCCAGACTCTCCTCGACCTCTCTTACCACGCTCTTCACGCCCCCAATCTCATGCGCAAACCGGCCCAAAAACATCCCATCTACTACCTTCCCCAAACCGCCAGCACCCCATAATCCTGGGCCCGCGCTCCCTCCATACAACACTCTTACTTCTCCTCTCCTTTCTCCACCAATCCCCTTGATGATATCCTTTATCCCAAGCGCAACCGCGCCGACATGATCAACTCCTGCTGGTTTTGGCTGACCAATTGCCCACACCGGCTCATAAGCAAAGATCACCGGCGCTTCGTCAGGTAATGCCTCCAGCACCGGCTTGATTTGCGCCTCGCATTCTTTTGCAGCGCGAGTACTAGCTTCGGCCAAATGTTCTTCGGGCGGGGAAACCTCCCCGATACACACCAGAGGGACAAGTCCTTCGCGCGCAGCCGCTGCCGCCTTGCGCGCAACTTGCTCGTCCGTTTCGCCGAAAATAGCACGGCGCTCTGCGTGCCCGAGTTCGACGATGGAGACGTTGATGTCGCGTAGGTTGCGGGGAGATACTTCGCCGGTGTACGCACCTGAGGCCTCCCAGAAACAGTCTTGTGCGCCGAGGAGCAATGAAGATGGTAACTTTGCCTCCTTGGGGCTCGACTTGCTAGATTCGAATCGTCTGATCGCCTCCGAGCAAGGGTATAAGGTGAGGAAATCCGGGATGAGCGCGAGTAGTAGTTTGGATCGATTCTGAGGTCGGACAATTTCGTTCTTCGAGTTGAGAAGTTCTTGGAGGTATTCAAGAGTTCGGGAAGGCGTGAAGTACATTTTAAGCGAGATGATGAGGAGCGTTGTTGGTAGGGAGGGAAACTGAGGTCCCGTCGATGTAGATGACATGATGGCGATGCGGCCCCTTTCTCCAATATCAACTGTTTATGCTGATGCTCTAATAGAAAAAGAATCTCGAACTCTCCTGGTTTGTGGCTTAGACAAGCGATCCTAGCAGCGAATGCATATTTTGTAAAGGATGTAGGTTTTCCATAGTTGTTATCAAGTTGATTCTAGAGCATGGCAGAATCTCGGGTGGATTTATTTTCGGAGTTTCCGGTGTTCCAGGCCATTTAAGTGAGCTGCCAGCACCTCGCGACAAGTGAATTTGAAGTGGAGGATGCAAGCAATGGCTTCTGAATTCCATTGCCATTGGAGCCCCTTTTCCGTGGGAAACTATGGACAGAGAGTACCTTTTGTCCAGTCTAGATGCACCACATAAAATACAATGAATCCTCTCCTCTGCCCGAAAGCCATTTCTGGTCTCTTCCCACAATTTACAACCTCTATTTAGTTTCCCTGGACAATGCTGACTCGCTTAAGCCAAGGCCGCTGGCGTATTGAATAGTAGGGCGTCTTTAGTGCTTGTTTCTGCATTAGTCATTCAGGCAAACTGTCTCTCGGGATGATATATGTCAACAGTGAGGAAGGACTGTGCTCGGGGCGCTCCTTTGATCATTGGAAATGGATGTATATCTCTTTGACTTGATTTGAATCAGTAGCAGATTTCAGAACAGCTCTGAACGGGCGCTGTCGGATAAGAGACGTTGCTGGGAAATATGACATCAATGCTTGAAAATTAGCCGCGGAACTTCCCAGAACGGCAAGCCGAGCTCCACCTGTTACCCCGGCCGAAACTGGGGCGTCCTTATGTAATCTGGAAGCTTGATGCTCCCACTCTAGGTTTAGCGCCAAGGGCAGTGGCTCCGGGGAGCTCCAGTTGCTGGCAAACAACATTCGGAAGTATGTAAATTGGCAAGCTGTTGATGAGGGTACCGTTTCAACCACCAAGTGGAGAGCATGCTCCAGCTTTGAAGAAATTCCGTTGATGATTAAGAAATGGGTCGATATATCAATACCCAGGGGACGGTGTCCATCAGGTGTCACATCTTAGACCGCTGCTCCTTCCATCTGCCCTCAACCTAGCGCATCAAAGCGAACCTTTTCCCTTTGCCGTCTCCAGCATCAAATCAAACCTGGTCTGCGCAAGCACCAACTCAGGGATCCAAGCAAGGCCCAGAAAGCAATTTTGACCCTTGCAAAACACCAGACGCGGAAATGGCGACAGCATCCCTCCCTCCCCTCCGTCTCGCCATCGCTTGTGACGATGCGGGCGTTTCCTACAAAGACACCCTCAAAGCCCATCTCTCGAACAATCCCCTCGTCTCATCCATAACAGACGTCGGCGTTGCCTCCTCCACCGACAAAACCGCCTACCCTCACGTTGCCATCCAAGCTGCCCAACTGATCAAGGAGGGCAAAGTCGACCGCGCACTCATGATCTGCGGTACCGGCCTAGGTGTGGCCATTTCGGCAAACAAGGTCCCAGGAATCCGGGCGGTAACGGCTCACGATCCGTTCAGCGTGGAAAGAGCCGTGTTGAGCAACGATGCGCAGGTTTTGTGTTTCGGGCAGAGAGTTATCGGAATCGAGCTGGCGAAGAAATTGGCCAGTGAGTGGTTGACGTATCGGTTTGATCAAAAGAGTGCGAGTGCGCGGAAGGTTGAAACTATTTCTGAATACGAGAAAAAGTTCGGAGAGGTGTATTAGATTGCTGGATTTTCGCCGATATATTGTATCGCTTTGGGATAGAATGGGCTCGAGGTTGCCTAGAATGAGGTGGATTTAACGGGACAAATATGTATATATATATCAGATGATATTGAAGAATTTCAATTTGAAAATCTTATCCGTTTATTTCCCTAGCACGCCATTATTGCGAAGTATATGGCCCACTGATTGATTGAATGTAACTGGACCGTACCTAAAGCTCCCGTAATCCTTCCCCTTCGACATACTCCTCACCATAATATTCCCGTCTTAAGGATTCGAGTATTTCTCTGTCGCCGCCGGTAAGTTTCTTCAAGTATTCCTCGAGGATGTAAATATTATCCGTCCACATTTCCGCTTCGCCCTTCCAACGTGTGATGTCTGCTCCCATCATATCAACACTCCCGCCGGTCTTCCCAGTTGTATATTGATCAAGTTCGCTCTTCAGCTTCAAGACTTCCGCTTCCATATTCTCATTTTTCGCCAGCATTTCTCTTCTCTCGGCCTCTTCTTCTACGCCTTCGCTATGCCCGATTTCAGCTTTCGCCATGTCGACTTTACTCTGTAGTTCAGCAACGGCTTTGTCGATCCTTTCAAGATCCTTGACCAGTCCACTCAGGATTTTATCTCGAGCTTTTTTCTCTTCTCCAGCCCAGGCCCAATACCAATTTCCGCTACCAATCTTCTCGATGTGGATTTTACCATCGTCTGCGAGGGCTTGGATGTAGTCCTTGACTTGCATGCCGTTTATTGATGCAATGGATGGAAGCATTTTCTCAAGATCCTTAAGTGTATGGCATGTCCGCGTCGAGCGGAGATGAGTTAAAATCAGAGCCTGCTTAGCTGCAGGAGGGAGGGATTTGGACGGGCCCTGCTCTATCAGTTAGTTGGTGCCATCGTAGATGATGCCCGGATGCCCTTGAATGGGCGGACTCACCATTCTTTGTTTATAGTAATCGACACAAGTAAGAGATTTGTTCTGCAAATACTCCGTAGAAAAGAAATATTGGGAATGGTTAAGTCGGCGCGTGGAGGGGCAGCGATCCATGAGGCTCAAAACTTCCCGTTTAGGAATCGGTTCAAAATTGAACGAACCGCTCCGTTTTGCGAGACCAGCTATCATTACCACCATCATCAACATACTAGTTATAGTCGAGTCGAGCTCTCACGGCCTCTGCAATCCCTAGTTGATGCGAGCTCGTAAGACGACATCGCATACCAAAAGCCTCGACAGCTAAGCCCTAATCCCCATCATGATCGCTGGATTCGACCACTGATCGCCCAGACTTACTCAAACGGCGTTTCTTCCTTGTGCTCCATACTCTCGTCAAGTCGTCATCGTTTCTTCCAACTCCAACCGTCCTTGCTCGTATCGCACCTGGAAACTCCCGAGCTGTCGAGACAGAGCGCCGTGCCGATGCCACAGTAGCTCCGGACTCATAACCAGTCTCTTCGTCGTCTCCTATCTCTGCGCCTTCAACAAAAACCATATCGCCGGTCGTGCCCAGGGCCTCAACGGCAGTTTCTTCGAGCAGAATTCCCAGCGCAATCAAAGCGGTTTCATCCATGCTTGACCAGGCAGATTGGCCATGGTCTAAAGTCGCGTTGGCGTAAAAGTCCGAAGTATATGTATGGATAGCCTTCAATAGGTCTGAATCCGGAAGAGATTGATCAGCTTCAAGGCGTTCATTGGCGAAGTAGATGTCGTGTTCCTGATACCTAGTGGGCGCGTTCAAACGGCGAAACAGGACTTCGTCCGGTGGAACGGAATCGAATGTATTGGGAAGGTCATTTTCATTCCCGAGCGATGGTGCCAAACAAAACTGTTGCGTAGACACCCGACCTTGTTGCAACAGAGTTTAGGAGAATGCACCGACAGCGGAGCAAAACACTGAAGAACATACCAGCGACTGCGTCATAAACATTTGCGAAGCGTTTTGGAAGTTCGGAATGAGGTTTTTTCACATTTTCCTCTATTGATTCAATAACCGGACCGTTGCTATATCGATCCATTGCTTGTCGAATCTTTGCGAATTTTCTCTTTCAAGACCTTAGCTGTCTGCATGCTAGCTCACATCCACTCTAGATAACGGCCCGAGCTTTATCCGGAGTCAGTCATCAAAGGTTTATCAGGCACAACAACCTTACTCTTCACGGGTGCTTCGCGCTTCTGCGTTGTTGCAGACCTTCTCATGAATGAATTCGTATCTTTTGAATAGATCTCAAGGGTCGATTGCCCCTTCGATCTTCCATGCTGCACAATGCTCCCGATTGATCCGGTGCCTTGCACCGGCACCTGGAATTCGATTTTCTAGTGCTGTATATCCATCAACAGCTGATGATGTATCAAGAGCAGATGAACATGAACATGATGAACCGGCCCAAGAAGAGGTGTGGGCGCATAAAGCAGGCGTGAATGTACTGGTAATTGATCAGTATGATAAGCGTTTGTGTGTTTCCAAATCTACAGTCTCTCCTTGACACAACACTCTAATACTAGTTATTCAAAGCATGTTCTCTGGCGGCGCCGATGCATCCGTCCATTTATGGGACCTGGAAACAAGAGGCTCAGAGTTGGGTCACCTCCATAAGGCTACCGCATCTGTCTCCAGGTGCGTTAACTAGGACCAATTTATAGAAGTAAACTTGGTGCTTATTCTACCCGGATAGATCGTCAAACGCATCTGCGCATACGCACGCATTAACCTCGATCTCAATATATCCATTCGATCCAACACCGGCAACGATCTTGACTACATCCCACGATACAACTCTTAAGCTCTCCTCGCTTGGCGAATCCGACATCACGCCTGTTCACACCTTCTCGCTCCACTCAACTCCCTACTCCCATTCCCTCTCTTCCCTCCCGTCATCTCACCTGCTAATTGGCGTTGGGACGTCTGACAAAACCGTCCGCCTTCTCGACCTCCGTTCAGGACTTGCCACCCACTCTCTACCTGGTCACACGGGTGCAGTTCTATCCGTCCAATGGGCGCCTCATAATCCGCACCTAATCGCTTCCGCATCGAAAGACAATCGAGTCCTAATATTCGACGTTCGTCGTGGCGGGAATAACTCCATCATCGCTTCTCTAGACATGGACGATGCCGTAGGCGTCCTCCCACCTCCATCTGCACCGCCTGTATTCCGCCCTCGCAAGCCATTCGTCCGCGAATCCCGCGCCCACAATGGTGCTGTAACCGGCATCCGTTGGACCCCTCGAGGCGACTTCATCATCACGTCCGGTCAAGATTCTCGTCTGCGCGTCTGGGATGTAACAAGCGGCGCAAATACTCTCGTTCATTTCGGCCCACGTATCCGCAACAGCGCATCACTCCACCTCGCAGAGCGTGCACCGCTCATTATTCCTGACCCCATGTTGTCAACACACGAAGGTCCTTTTTTCCTCTGGGCCAACTATTCTGATCCTGATGACAGAGGCGACATATTTATTTTTTCTGCCCGAAACGAGGGCAAATTGATTACGCATTTGAAAGTTCCTGGAGTCCCGTCCCGTGAACGGATGCGAGTAAGTGGGAAGCCGTCCGCACTAAGTGCGGCACGAATCAATGCATTGGCGTGGCGAGGAAATGGCGCGGCTGGAGAGGGGATGGAGCTGTTTTCAGCACATGGGGATGGGACAATTAGATGTTGGGCGTCGAGGACAGAAGAGGATGTCGATGAGATTGAGGCGGCGCAAGAGGAGCAAGAACAACAGGAGCGGAAGAGGAAGAGGGATGTCCTAGAGGAAGTTTATCGAGGATTGACGCAGCCGGGCATTAGGTTTACTTGAACTGCGACGCTGATTTGCGAAGCCTGTCTGTCCCTTGGTGCCCGAGGATTCAATAATACCTCAAACGGCAAGCGAACACTTGCGGCCCAAACTTCAATTACATGGTACATGAATGCCATATTGCTCGTAGTTGAAGTGTTCCAAACTCGGTATGCTTTCGGCCCAGCCATCGTCAAGCTCTCCTAGCTGCCAGTGGTCTCCGATTTCAACCATTCCTGTCCTTCCAGCTAGCACATCCTTGACGGTGGCCTGGTACTCTATCGCTATATCAGGGTGTGGCACCCAAACAACCCTCATCCCAGCTCGCCTTGCGGCTTCCACGCCGATGACGCTATCTTCGAAAACCAAACATTCACTGGGCAAAATCGGCTTTTCGCCAACGTGCGCTGCCGAGTTCAACGAGCGCAACGCGACTAAAAATATATCAGGCGCTGGCTTTCCTCTACCCTGTCGTACCCGTGGGTCGTCACCCAAGACACGCCTATCGGATGGGAAGAAGTCCAGTAACCGTTTCGTTTCCGGCTTCGAAACCTTCAATTCATAGGTATGACTTTTGGTGCTAGATGCCAATGCAAGCTTGATGGTTTCCCCAGAAGCACTATGTGCACGGTTGAGGTTTAGCAGAAGTTTTTCCGCGCCAGGCCGCGGCGTGCAATTTGGAAAATTCAGCCGCATCTGCTCAGCAGATTCTTGGGCGAATTTCTCGCGTGAAATGGGCAATTTAGCCCAATCGTGGAACACGTCGCTATTTGTCGAGTTCGGGATTCCCATGAGCTGGGCTCGAATCGAACGAGTGAAAGCAGGCCTTCCATACTTTTCAAGGAGATGGTTTATTGACTGAGTGATCATGTCTTCGGAGTTGATGAGCAACCCGTCCATATCGAAAATGCAGGCGCGGATTGCAGGGAAGCTAGCGGCAATCTTTGTTAGCTTCCTGCAGCTACAGCACTTTTCGAGTAGCGGTCGCTCGATAATGCCCATGTTGAAGGACACACATATCTCTGTTGGAGTCACTTACTTTACACCGGGGGGAGCCATGCTACTGTATGAAAGCCTATTGTGATCGAGTTGGGCGACACCAGCAGCAAATTAAGAGACGCAATCCAAGTCAGCATGAAGGCTGGGAGTTCGAACTCGAAATTCAATCTGCTAATGCGTCAATCTGCTAATGCGGTATTCCGCATTCCTTTACCGATTCAACACCGAGCTTGAAGAACGAAGAACGATGGAGTGCAATGATGTTCTTCATGATTCCCAACATGGATACAAAGAGTGCGGGGTAAATATAAAAACCTGCAATCCTACATACACCAACGGACGCCATGTTGCCATTCTATTCATCATGCAATATCATCCGGCCCTTTTTCACCCCATTTCGCGGCCCAAGCTCGCCAAAAACGCTGACACCGTTTCCGCAAGCTCTGCCACATTCGTTTTAGATCCTGAACGTCCCAGAGATAAAACATGTAGGCAAACCCGGTGATTGGAACACACAAGACCAAAAACCACCAAACTCCCACCGAGCTCTGCCCAAGGACATCAATATTCATACCCATGAGGCTGGAGGTTAGACTAAGAGGAATGAAGAGCGTTGCAAGCAGGGTCAACTTTTTGAGGCGCTCAGACTGTTGGATGACTTTGCTGGACTCCATGATCGTGGCTTTATGCATTGCCACACTTATGGCATGAGTGCACGTATTTGACAACTCGATGCAACGGGTATAAAGTTGCTCATAATCCTCCAAGAGGTCATTTGGTTTAAATGCATTGCCGGGACTCTGGGTTCCATCGCTGCTGGCCATCTCGGGCGCTGAGGTCTGCTGTCTGCCCATACCGAGACCCGGCGTCAACACACTTTTGGGGATTCCAGTCCTTCCTGGACTATATCTCTCAACCAGCTTGCGAAACGCAAAAGTGCTGTCTTTCAGCTGCCGAGCATGTCGACTAAGAATGTTGGAGAAATGTTGCAGAGTTTCGAACGCGTCAGTTGAAACACCTTCGGTTAGGGTGTTTATTTGGGTTTGAATTCTGGACTCGACGACATTCAAGAACTGAACTTCAGAGAAAGCAGCATGCGCAAACAATGGAATACACATGGAAAGTGGATCTTGAGGTGCGAGACGGGCCAGTTCAACAAGAGCAATTAGTGAATCGTACTGCAGAGGAAGTACAGTTGTGCTTTGCGCCACTTTGGCGGAAAAATTTGCTTCTGTATCCAAACGATTCTTGGGGGTTCGAAACGCCATTCTGGGATGGTATTGGATGATTGGTAGAGCTACCGCCCTCAGATCGATGTGCCTTGTCCATGGTCCCGGAGGAGATTTTTCCAAGGGTCTACCATGATCCATCCAAGCAATCACTGGATGCGCATGCTAGCCAATGGTCTTTCTTGCGGTATGCAACACTCTCTCCTACCAGCCCAACCTCCATCTTTTCTCGCGATATGAATTGAGATCCATTGTTCAACCACTGAGAAGGATGAGCACAGAGTTGAGAACTCGCGCACAATGGAGTCTCCGCAGCAGACTGTAGCATTATTCCTCAGCTGTCGTAATTTGTATTCTCGGAGCCCAGTGGGTTGATCTGACCTCTGCGACTGAAGATCTGGCTCGCGAAAATTCAAATCCCGATGAAGCAGAGTGCTCACACAAACTCGGAATACGTGATTAGAAGAACTTGCAAGTGACGGAAAACTGTATGCATGGCTATGGACGCTTGGGGAAAAAAAATCCATGTGCTGCCTAAAAAATTCGGGATCGATGTTGTATTTACTACCGATGGCAGACGCCCAGGGCAGTGTTATGTAGCCTCGAATGAAGACTATCTGCCCACAGCCCCCAGCGGGAACAGAGGCGGCTTCAGACGAGGCTTCATGCTGATCTTGACTGTACTGTTGCACATCCCACTTCCCCCACCGACTGCTGTATACCACAACTAAATCGTGCGGTTCCGGCTTGGAACTGGAAAGGATGGAATAGGCTTCCTTTGCCTGCTCTGGGAACATACGCTCCCATCGCATCCATGATGCGATGTCGGCATAAGGGCGTCCTGGGAAGATTGTGGTGTTTGGGAATCTCTCTGAAAACGAGATGATCGCTGAAGTGTAATCATCAGGGGTAACTGTCAATGAAGAACTGGTCAGATCATGAACTGCAGATAGCTGACAGGACGAGGGCTTACGCGGGGCCCTTCTGCGCTCCATCTCCTAAACTAGTTCCCGCTAGTTAACTGATTAGCTATTCCGTGTATCCAGGGATAACTAGCCGAGTAGTCAATCTCAAGGACGACTTGCTGGCCGGTCCAGCAGGCAGGTTGAGCAGGATGGTTAACGAGCAAGGCGACTGCACACTGGTGCCTACAGTGGCTCGCTACCTGGCCAACTCGCTACATGGTCCTTATGGCGAGGATCATGAATGAGCAGTTAACTAGATATAGTTAGCTAACTGTGAGTCTGTGCATCGACTGGCATGAGCTGCTGCGCCAATGCACGCTATCACAACGCCTGCTATTGTCCCTCCATTCTCCTCTCTCCATCGGAATATCACACGCTTCTGCTCATACGCTTTCAAACTCCTTTGCCGTGTCGATGAAACACTATGGCAACTCCCAGAAACGACTTCTGAAAGTTGTTCCACATCAACCCTCTAACTAGTTAACGGCTTGCTACGGTTTCGTTATTTCCTGGAAGCGACAATTGGTACAAACTTGAGGATCACAAACGTTGACGTCGAGCAAGCAGTCGAATGTTTACTCGACTTTGCAGACAGACTCGAAAAGATTCCCTTGACCTCTTTCCTGTCCGCTTATGAACTGAGAGAACCGAAAAACAGTCCAATGCCACTACCATCAAAATACCAACAGGTTAGTCTCGAAAACATGATTGATCTATGAATGCTGACCTTGGTTGTAGTTGGCTGATCACGAAGCTTGTTGGACTCGTAGCCCACGAGAAACAGTCATAAGCCATAATATCAATCATAATGATACATGTTTATTCACCAAGAGCGTTGGTGGCGAAGGTGCATCCGAATTACACCACTTTATCTACAAGCCTTTGAATTCCAAACGTATGTTATGATCCGAAAGCTGTAGAATGGAGCTAACGGTCACAGAACAGGATCAATATGAAGCAACGACCGCTTACTCTCCTACGATCTACGAAACATCAGTCCAAGGTACGTTGGAGGTCCACGCCTCACCAAGCGATCATCTGACGTCGATTAGTCGGGCAACCGGAACCTACCGAATGGCCATCGAACAAAGCAACGGAATCCTCTTCGAACAGAGCAACAGATGGAACATCCCTTTCAGGATTTGAATTGGTATATTCTACAACGCTAAAACCTGAGGCTCGGAAACCCCTTCATCTACCATGCTTCCTTCTCAATACACATTCGATAAATGAGGATTTTTGCGGCCGCGAGGATATCCTAGAGCGGCTTGCAGTCGAGCTCTTGCCTTCAGAAAATACAGTGGCAGCATCGGATACCACTCTTCGACAATTTGCACTTTGCGGACTTGGGGGAGCTGGAAAGACGGAAATAGCCCGCGAATTCGCCCGACGTCACAAAGCCTCTTTCGATGCAGTGTTCTGGGTCGTGGCGGATGAAATTGCGAAACTTGACGACCATTACGGGCAAATCTCGTTGGCACTGGGTCTTGAAGATTTATCTGAGTGCAAAAATCAGGTTGTCAGCAGGGAAATTGTGAAAGGATGGCTTTCCAATCCTCGAAGGTATCGATCAGGGTTTGATGAGTTTGGCCAACTAGGGCAAGTTAGATCAGAAGCAACTTGGCTCCTTATATTCGACAACGCAGACGACCCCATGATCCTAGCAGACTACTGGCCCCAGGGCAGTGGATCAATTCTGATAACTAGCCGGGACCCATTGGCTAAAACTATGTTTACCAGGACGCCCTCAGGCCTGGATCTCGGCCCGCTCTCAAAGCAAGACAGTCTATCGCTTTTCAACCATCTCACTTCTACGGTCAGCGAGCCAGAAAGCGACGTAGCGCGACGTATCTTTGATGCATTTGGTGGTGTTCCTCTGGCTATCTGCCAGATGGCAGGTATCATCCGTCGACAGGACCTGACCTTACCAGAGTTCTTCGAACTATATACGGATCATGAAGAACATGCCAGTCTCTATGAGACAAACTTCGATACCAATCTGACTACGTATCGTCACTCACTTTCCACTGTCTGGGCGTTTGAGAAGCTGAAACCTCAAGCTCGACAGCTTTTGGAGCTAATTTCATTCCTTGACCCGGATGCGATTGGAGAAGAGTTGCTGACGGAAGCATCTGTGAAGCTGTTTTCCGAGGTCACAAAATTTGAGAAGTGTCATTACATAGAAGCTCGAACTGATCTTTTGCAGTCCTCTCTGGTTCAAAGAGACAAAAAAAAGCAGCAGATATCGGTCCATCGCATTGTACAGGATGTAGTCCTAGCGACAATGAATGGTGCGAGAATAAAATTAATGTTTGACCAAGCTGTACGAATTCTTTGGGCGAACTGGCCATCAGCTCTGCCCAAGCCGTCAAAAGAGCCAGCATTGCCCCAGCCCAAGTCAGCCGGCGGGAGGTTGCATGTTGGAAGGTGGCCTGCTTGTGCGGCGATTTATCCCCACGTTCTAAGGCTTCATCAACTCTGGTCATCCATTTCAGATCTTTCTAAGGCATCCGGGATACTTTTTGCAAAGTTATTGAATGAAGCTGCATGGTACGTATAAGATACTCAGCTGTTTCTGCCACATAGTTTAATATTATTAGGTATCAAAAAGAGCGTGGGCGAACGAACCAATTCGATGGTTTCTTCGAAACTGCTCGTAGTATCTGCGAGTCGTCGACGCACGCAGATCGGGATTCCCTGCTTGCAGATATCCACTTCTGTTTAGGATCTGTCGCCATGGATACGAACGATTTTCACACAAGCCGTATTCATAAAGAACGCTCCCTTGACCTAGTTTCCAATATTTGCAAAGAGCTTGGGACCGCCGACGAAAGATTATACCTCGCCTACGCAGAGCGAGGGATCTCGCGCATCCAAGATAGGCGGTACAAAGAAGGTGAGGCCGATCTTAAGGAGGCGTTGCGGATTCGCAAAGCTCTTGGCAATTACATCCCCCGGTCCGGCGAGGCGAATCTAAGTTGGGCCCTTCTTGCGCAAGGGAAGCTTGAAGAGTGCAACACCCTGCTTTTGGACAGTCTAGCGGGCAGAGAGAAGGCCTTGGGTAAGAATGATAGGGAATCTGCCCGGACTGGCTTGATTCTCTATGCACTCGGCAATCTCCGTGCTGAGCAAAACCTATGGAATGAGAGTTTTTTGTATCACCAGAGAGCGTGGCGTCACATGCGTGATACGGTGGGCGAGAGAGATTTCTACACCGCAAATGCTGCCCATAAGTTTGCCGAGCATCTTTTCCGCTTAAAGCTGCACGAAGAAGCGATGTAAGTGCTACGATCTTCATCTAAACTAACTGATCTCATCTAACCATCCTTAGTGCTATTATCAACGGTGTGCTAGACGTATGGTCTGTTGATCCGAATGCACACAAAAATGAGATTGCTCGCACTACTTTCCTTAAAGGCAAATTGTTCGAAGCGATGGGCAAAGCGCAGAAGGCTTCAATCGCTTTTCGAGTTGCCTGTCGTTTGAGAAAAGAGATTACTAAGGAGGATCGAAATGCGAAGACCTTGACGATGAAAGACTTTGACGAGATTGTTGCTTTCTGGGCCCGTTGATGGGCCTCGTTCATTGAGTATGCTAACAGTTTGCGAATGATAAGGTAATGACTAGTTGAGCTCTGCTGATTTTCCGAGTCATTGTGGTATCATTGACATCTATGGCTGTGCTGCACCCATGGTTCATCGTTCTTCGGCCTGCCGCCTTGCGATGCGGCTAGGCAGCAATTACGCTTCGGTGTCGCAACAGCATACGAATGCGTCATGTCTTTTAGAATCATCAATGTCGCCCTTTAGCATGACTAGTAAGAGCCTACTAACTTTTATCCAGGAGAAAATTCTTGCGGAACGTAAATAAAAGCTATATACCCAGCAAATTTCACACGGGAGTTCTATGTATACAGAGCCAAACCCAATCTAACATTTGCCTAGATTACAATCATACTCAAAGGCACTCAAAAGGCCTTTAAAATGCGCCGCAGTGGCTACAACAACAAGAATGTGGAAAATTGTGTGCGAATGGCCATATATATCAAATTGGCCGGGGCGCCAGCGCTCCGGGATTTGCCGCTAGTTCCCAAGGCCGTCAGTATCATGGTTGTCAAAAGTGTGGATAATGGATCAGGGGCTCCCGCAGAATGAGAACCATCAAGTGAGGACGAGCCACACTGCACGTACCTCATAAATGTAGCACGCAGTGACAAGGATGACACCTTCGAGGAGGTAGTACGGTACTCCAAGCTTCCAGATGTCAGATCCAAAGAGGAAGCTTGCGTGAGCAATGGGGGCGAATGCGGATAGTGCGGTCCCGATGAATATACAGAGACGAAATGTGCGCCATTCTGGTCCTTGAAATCGGGGTTTGAGGAGTATCATTGCTGTGAGAGAACCTAGTGCTATGATCTAAAAAGCCCTCGAAGAAGACATGGTTACTCCGAATCCAACAGACGCAGCAAACGGTGAAACTATAAAAGCTCCGAGCGAACTCGACCAAAAAAGAAGAAGAAAATGCAAAGGCAAGTAAACGAACCATGGACCAATATATCAATTTCGGGCTCAACTCGCAATAGAAGCCAAAATAAATCCCACTGATAAAATCGCCCAAAATAAGAGTAACTATTCCCATGTAATCACATGCAAGGAATTGATTCGCGACTCCAGGCGAATGATTCATCAGGGTATGATACACGGTGGAGGTTCCCAGGCAAGCGGTCACAGTAAACAGGTGGAATGAGAGCATCGCCCTATCTACCAGTGACATTGCGGTGAGATTGTTCCGGGTCGATAGGTATTGTTGCAATGCTGGTTGCGCCAATATGGATATAACCATTGGGATGAGGTGTGAATAAATGTTGCATGATTCATTGTGCAAATACGTCCAGCTGTGAAAGGAGGAGATTGCTGAATTGGACTGCGATCGGTAGCCCGATAAGATAAACTCATTTGCTTCGTACCAAAGTGGTGTTTCTTCGAAGTTCAGGAGTCGTTTTGGCGATTTAGGGTCCAATGCCTCAGGGGTCGGCGACCTGGGCATGGGAGTTCGTCTGCGCGAAAACATGAACATGTAAAGAAAGAAAAAAGGCTTGTTATACGGATCCCTCTACTCCGTACTGGAAATGATAGGAGATGATAGTTTCTAGCTAGAGAAGCTCTAGAAAAGAGGGCAGCTCTTCCTAGCGCCCAGTCACGATCAATTGATGAGTGAACGGTGTGCAGCGCGTAATCGAGACAGATGATAGGCTAATACCTAAGCTGTTCCCCTATTTTTAGATGTTGTTAAGATGCATGAAAATTAGTAGGAGTAAATCCTTGAGAAGTGTTAGGCTCTTACCTTTGTTGCTATTTGCTATCCTTTGCCACTCTATGCTCTCTATGTTTAGTTGTCGCCTTTGTGGCCGGCCTGGCGATTACCGCAACTAGGAGGAGGTTAGCTCAAGGGCAAGGGCTCAGAGCGTTGCGTATGTACATAAACCTCCTCCTCTGCCAGAGACCTTCTACCTGTTGATCCACTGGGTCCTCAATTTAAATCAAACATCTGATAATGAACCTCTGCAGTGTTGATTCCCTTCCAGCCCCTCCCAATATCATATTCAGGGGTGGATTGATCAAATATCGAGGAATGATGGACATCCTTTGGACATGTTTAGTTACTGTATTTCTCTGCACATTCACAATTCTCAATCTCAATGTTCCAGCGGAGAACGATTCGTTTTCGCAATCTTGCATCGCCGACTATGGTGGATGCCTGTTGCGATTCCTGGGCCAGAATCCATCTTGACAGCAGTAAGTGGCCAGTGGAACCGCGCCAACGAGGGTGTAAAAGTATTTCTGGAAGCGAGATATCGAAACTAGATTCTCCGACATGGTTTCTTCGCTGACATGGTGGATTCATGCGTGTCCCGAGAGATTACTCTGAATTTCTTGCCAACAACAAGCATCTCCACTATCTGATCGTGAATGGATATCTTCTATATCCGAACGTTACCGAGAAGGAACTGCGAATATAATCACATGCGGACAAGCTAGCTATATGGTTGTTAAAATTGTAGGCCGCGCTGGGCAGAAGCTTCAAGTCACAACATTGGAAATTTCAACGTTGGCCATTGTTATTTGCTCACTCCTGAAGTGTTTGGTATGGCTCCGCAAACCAGCAGATATACAAGCGCCTATTCGGCTACCGATGGACATGCCGATCGAACTACTCCTTCGTCGAGCAGGCAGCAATGCCGCTGCGTGGCCATTTAGGCAAACTCCACTAGATTTCATCGATGACTTGAAATCCCGCTAGGGGCTCAACGGCAGAGTAGATCCTATGGCAGATTTGCAGCATGTTCCTTTTTGCGAACACAGCAATTTTTTGGGAACTGGAGACGGCCGCAGCCTATTGGAGGTTTGGACCATTACAACGTGTATTCGCAAGCGTATTTTCGCGCTGTGAACAGTTTATCCCGGGACAAAAGACGGGAGAGCATCGGCAGGAAGAGCGCGAGCCAGATCCCTCCGCCTCAGTTTCAGAAGTGGTCGCGGAGCCGCGGGAACTGCCGCTTCCCGCTGAATTCTGGAGTATATTCCCATTAGCAGTCACATATGCCGCGGCTAGGGCTTACCTTATCGTCGAGGCATTCGTTGGATTAAGAGTGCTGGATCCCAGTGCATATATCAATGTAACATGGTCCGTGTACCTACCTCACATCTAAATGCCAGGATGGTATCTTCAGACCCTCGATGAATCCGACGGTTCTCGTATGTCACTGCTGCTCGTTCTCAAGAGTGCTGTGAGAAGAAGCTTTCCCCCGACGTCGAACCTTCAAGGAACGGACCCAGATCAGCTGCTGACTAAGAAGTCAGACCCAAAAGGGGAATGTTGCAAAATGCCCCAAAACGGAAACTGCCCCACAACGCCGCCCCACCCGCTGAGCTGACCAATCACCGCTCTTTTTTACAGTAACCTTAATTTCTCCCATAAATTGCCCGATTCGGTAATGGCCACAGCATCACCGCTGCTGGGAAACGTGGCTGTGTCTGGTCGAGGGCCAGCTTTTGAAGCGCTGCTCTCTCGCATTGAAGAATGGCAGGTCATTCTTCGGGACGTGTCAAGCTGAGATGCTTTGGATTTCTACCGGGGTAGCGCCACACAGCCTCTGATCCTCAGAGCTCATTTCAATCCCTTTCATGCTGTGAGAACGATGGAGAAGGCGGTTTAAAAGAGATTACCCTCCTCAGCGAAAGGAAGATATGCTGGACATACCTCGAGATTCTCTTCTCGTTTCGTCCTCGCTGTGAGAAATCATAACCCAGCTTCTCTCTCTTTTCCTTTTCTTTTTCCCTAGACACGATCCCATTTCAGGCAAACCACTTAAGAATTCCTCATCAAAAATGGCCGAACCAAGTCAGGTCTACTACGTGACCAAAGCTCACGGGCGCTCTGGGAGGGTATACAACCTCCTCGCCCCCGACGGAACCACCCAGCTCTATACCATCGTCTCCTCAGACAAAAAACCACACATAACCGTCTGGCGACATACTCCCTCCCCACAACCCTACCCACCACCACAAATACCATCATACCAACAACATCCCCAATTCTTCACGGACCTCCCCACCCCCCCTCCCTACGACAGTTCACACCACGGCACGCCACAATACCCCCCCAGCCAAGAAAGCTGCATCGGCACCGCATCCTACTCCAGCTTCTCGTCCAAGATCCACGTCTCACTCGACACCCCACACCAAGGCCGCGAGAAAGGCCCTTCAACCACGACCAACATCACCATGAAACGGCCCGACATCCTCTCCTCGGGCCGAAGCTTCGTCTCTCCCATGGGCACCACGTTTCACTGGCGGAAGGATGCCAATGTGCTGGTCAAGACGTTGACGGGGAGCACTGACCTGAAACTCGTTGACCACCGCGGACGTGTGATTGCGCGGTACGAGAAACATGAACAAGAGAAAGAAGGAGGAGGGGGCTTCAACCTGAAGGGTCTGATGGCCTTGGTGGGCGGCGGTGGTGGACGGGGCAAGCTTGTGGTTGCGACTCGAGAAGAACCGGGCATAGATTTGGATATGATTGTCATCACTGGATTTGCGGTGATCGAGGACGGGAAGAGGTCTGATGAGGAGTGGGAAGAGGTGGCGGAGTTTATATAGGGTGGTTGGTTTGGAGTTTGGATCGATGCGCACTTGTAGACATGGGCTGCTATTAAAGTCGATATTTAGCAAAATTCTTCAATTTATAGCCGATTGTCTGGATTATATTATCACGTCTGAATTTCCCTCGGGGACATATAGTTATAGGGACAAAATATCTATAAAAAAAAAACCAATATTTCCCCAACGTCTGAACAGGGGTCGCTGAAGTCTCATCCACCAAGAATAAATCAAACTAACGCAACAAACAGGGGCGCAAAGAATTGGGGGTATTGTGCAAAATCAAAATAGCCATTCCAGCTTCAAAATCAAACCAAATCGAAGTAGTAGAACAAAAAGGGAATACATTTCGTCATCAGTCGTTAGAGTTGCTAATATGGGACAGATTCCTCCAAGGGCAGAAAACCAAAAGGAAAATATTTGACACAAAGGAGTGGTTGGCCATGTTCTGTACAGACCGGTATCATTTTATATACAATCGCCCCGGCTGGTTTGATCAAACAAGAAAGGGCGGCTCTCGTTAGACTTGCAGAGAGGGAAGCCTAAATCACGTTTCCGTTGACGCAGATCTCATTCCCTCCCTCTTTGCCTTTCTTGAGAGCTTTGGCGAGCATCAACTCTCTCATCCAGTTGATCCTCTCATCTCGTGACTTGACCGCGAAGTGATGACTTTTGCCTGAGCCAAGAAAGAGCGATTTCTTTTCTCCAGACGCTGGAATCAACGAAAAGGCAAAGGCGGTTTCATCAATGCCTCTATACGAGGAGCCGTTCTGGGAGAGACTAGCCGCCTTACGAAGAGCAGACCGTTTGAACGCTGCCGTGAGCTTAGAATTAGTCGCTAGTGAGGAACAAGCAACAGCATAGTCGTCTACGTCGATTGTCTCGAGGGCTCGAGAATCGCGGTCGTCTTTTTGCATAGCTAGAACGGTGCCTTTTAGGGTGAAGTGTGCATCGTGCCATTCATGGCGAAGAAGACGGGTCTTCCTCTTTTTCATCCATCCGCTGTACGCAGCGTCCGGATGCTTCGAGGATGTTGTGGCAGTCTGCCCAGGTTCAACAGCCGACTGAGGTGATGATACTTGTTGCGCCTGTGATTTGGCGAGAGGGATAGTTCGGAGGTCGGACGGGTTGTTGATAGGCGGGAGAACTCGCCCTTCTGTCAGGGGAGCCATTGCTGCAAACGAAGGGCGCCGGCGATGATGATCAGGTCGCACAGATGGAGGACGAGGGATCGAGTCAATAGCGGGCGGTTGTAGTGTACCGTATCTCATGTTTGGTGGTACAGATTGTGAACCGTCGCGATCTAGTGGTTCGATCGGCATGGCGGTAACCGGGACGTCCATTTCTGAAAAGGGCGTGACCTGGCGGAAGACATCCTGACCGAACTGGAAGGGGTTCATTTCTTGCGTTGCAGTTGCAGAGCCCATCGGCTGCAGCCCCAACGACGGGGTGATTGTCCGATCCGGAGAAAACGCATTGTCCGCGGAAGAGCTCCGGGGTATGACGAGTTTTGGGAGGCTCCGAAGTTGATTGGTCATGTGAAGGGGAAGTGAAGATGATGCTGGAGGAGAGAGAGGAGGGAACATTTCAAGAGCAGGTTGGTTGTATTCAGCGTTGGATGGGCTGTGCATGTGTTGAAAGGTCAGAAACTGCCGAACGTTTTCCTGTGGGTCTCTAGGTTGTACTCCGTTCAAGTTTTCAGCATTGAGCTTGAGATCAGACAACTGGGATGGTCCAAGAACATCAGAGGAGGCAACAACCGAGGGAGTAGCATCGGATTTTGGTCGAGGGCCGTCATCCGGTTTGACAGGGCTGGATAGTTTGACGGAGACATGATCTTCGCCTACTTGTGCAAATTCGTTTGGGAATTCCTTTGCGATACGGGCAATTTTGCGCTGCCGTTTCTGGTATTTTGGACAGTTCTCCCCTTTGGAGCATTTGTGTGGTTTGGGGATCAGCTGTTCAATGGCGACGATGGACACGGATTCTCCTGGTGAAATGATGTCTTTTTCTGAGATCACCCGGTTGCGTCGACGACGAGAAGTATCTCTGTCGCTGATGGGGGACTGGACTGGAGTTTCCTTGCTTCCAGTTCTCCGCATGGACGCAGATCTGCTCATCCGGACAGATGGTAGCTCGTTTGGGCGAGTGCAGGCCCCAGAACGAAGGTTTTGAATCATATTCATCAGGCAGTGACGTTTTCCAAAGGATTGTATGTCCAGTTCTTTCAAGTCCTCAATCTGAAGATCCAACAGGACAGTGCCGGAGATGTCATTCTCGATGAAACGCTCAACCACCATGTCTTCAAGGCCGGCCTCGTACATCCACTCGGCAACCTGAGCAGGTGTCCATGCTCGAACATCATTGACATCTTGATGGGGGGATGCTCGTGCTATACTCAGGGCACTGCCGGGCCTAATCTCCTCTACTTGAGGCCTAGAGTCGAATATCTGCTCATTGAAGAGAATGGTGGAATTTCTGGCGCCATCCAAAGGATTTGGAGATGAGGGAAACTGCCACTCACTCTCGTCTGACTTGCCAGCTATAGACGCATCCAGGGATGATCTAAAGAGATGCGGGCCAGTGGGTCCTTGAACGGGCTTGTTGACGTCCAGCCCAATCTTGAATGCAGTGTCCAGAGCACTAGGAGTGGGCAGATCATCTGGCGTGGATAAAGTAGTTGCCGAGTCGTTTTCCAGCTATTCATCTGATTAGACAATTTCTCCTCGCGGACAACAGCAGATGGGCCTACTCACCGATTCTACACTTCGTCTGGGAGAGCCAAACTCGAAATACTCGGTTTCGTCGTCAGTGTCCAAGATCTCGGTTGCTTCCGAGAGCGGCCGGGAATTGAACGACGAACGCCTGGGCAAAAGCGTGATGGAGTTTGTGTTCATTTGCAGCATGCGGACTCCCATCTGCGGCTGGGGCAGCTGATAAGTGATCTCCTGGAGGCCATGGTGTCAGTGACAGGGAAGATTTCACACCAGACTGCATGCATTGAACTGTCGCGTACCATGATGAAGAGAAAAAAGACTACCCGAAATGAAAAAGAAATAGAAAAGGGGAATTTCAGGAGACCGCCATGCTCTGAGAGAAGCACAGCAACGAGAGCACTACAGAGGAAAGGAGGAGCAGCAGGACAACCGTTGCCGGGTTCTATTTGAGAGGTCTAGTATATATCCAGAGAGGGACAAGAGAGGGATGGATGGATGCTGTGGACGGGTTAGTTCTGGAACAGGATGCAGGTCTCAGGGCGGCCGACGATATATTTGAAGGAGAGCAGACTCGTTCAACTGCAGATCCTGGACCGGGGGAGGGGAGAGGTCAGGGAAGGGGGGGAGAGCGGGGGGGCCCGGGTTAGCAGGGCGCTTGGGGGTTATTTGTAGCAGAAAAGGGAAGGACTGCAGGACGAATACGGCCCAGTTGAGCCCTGGTTTCCCCAGCAATGCACTGGCGACATGGCGGGCAGGTATCACCGGACCAGAGCGGCGCTGTGCTCGCCGTGCTGCTCTGATCCACTGGTACTTCGCACACAGGTTCCGCTGCGGTGCGGTCTTTGATGCAGACGAATTCACACCACATGCAGGCCAATCAGACGCTGCGATCGCGGTGGGTCCCGTCCCAAAAAAGGAACCCAGCCGTATTGGGCCTAGCGCAGTGATGGCGCTTTTGTGACGAAACCTAATTTAGACAGGCCGCAGCCAATCACGAGGCGGAACTGCCCCTGTCGGTTGCTTTCTGAAGAATTCCCATGCTCGCCAAATACGGTGTGTGCATGGCCATTGGCTGGGGTTATTTTGGGGTTGGCTGCTGGGCGAGGAGTCACATTGGGGGGCAGATGGTCCCCGTTAGACTCTAATCTCTGTGTCAGTTGTCGCCGATGAGATCTTACACAGCCGTTGAGAAAAGCAAAGCAAAAAGGGAGGATTCAGATCCAGGCACAGGACTGAATCAAAACACCTCCCATTCCTTTTTTTTTTACCTGTAGCCGGGCCAGTCGAACGACAGACTTGGCACGTCTTTGCCGACTGCATTTCCTGCTCCGTTTCTCTCCTTCCAACTTCACTCTTTACCTACCTGGGCAGTCTCAGGCGACGGCGTCCAATGCCTGCTCAACCACGCCCCCCGGCCAAACCCGGCCGCAGACCTGACCACACGGTCGCATCAGGGCGAGGGAACTGGCGGTTGGCTGTTGCTCAATTTTGCACGGGAACGCACAGCATACATTAGTGAGTGCTCAATCAGCCAATCCAAGTGTCCATCCGACTCGGCTCATGTACTCTGTACTCTGCACGGTGTTTCATGCATGTACCATGTACGCTGCGTTGACGACTCTTTTCTGCTCGATTTTTGAGCTGAAAGACGGAACGGTTCGGTACCAGAGTACGTGGTCTGCTAGCTCTTTTTTTTTTCTTTCCCGTATCCGCTGCTTGGCTGAGACTGAGGCACCAACATTCATATCTGTTGGCTTTTTTGGTTGCTGTGGCTCTGCGCATCAGAATCCAGTTCCCTCGCTACTAATGAGAGGGCCAAAGTAACTCTCACAGCATATTCTGTGCGAATTGACAAATCGTCGGAATCCTGTTGGTCAACTTTCCAACTATAGAAATGTAACAATATCAGCGATCTATCCTTGTTGTCTTTGCATGTCGAGCAGGAAACATGAGAGTCAAGTTAGAAACTGAACTAGCTCAAGTAGCCAACCTAATCCTGACCGTTTTGGTACCTTAATTCTTCTTCCTCCGTCCCAAGTCGATCAAGAACAAAGATCAGTGGATATCAAACCTCCCTTCCCGTCTTATGACTTACATAGCGGCGGCATCAAGATGCACTAACGACGGGGACAAATCTCAGCCCGACATATCTGACGTAACCAAGTCAATCATAACTAATCAGTTAAAAGAAATTTAGTAAGTGATCTAGTGAGTGCCGGCGGCTACGATGACAGAGCTAAATCCAAAAAGAGATTTCGATCACCCTCCGTCACAATCACGGGCGGCTAGCAAGTTTGGTCTCTGTTTCTCCCAAAAAACAAAAAAAATAAAAGAGAATTGGGAGGCCAAAGGTCTCTAGGAGCTGAGGCGGAATGCGGAATCAAATTCTTGTCTGACGGATGGACCTCAACGAGGGCGATTCCGCTTCACCGCCACGCTCGCGGCTTCTGGAGATGCCGAGAATAACCCGGACTGTGAAAATGCTGAAAAGAGCGCGCGCAGCTCAACTAATCGTACGATGACGTCCTGGGTCTGCTGACAGATGTGCAAGAAGAACCTCTGGTCGATACGAACCTGCCAATTGAGTCGTGCATTTCCTTTTTTTTTCACGCGCTTGTCACAGTGTCACTGACGGTTCGCAACTAGCATGTGAGATTTGTGGCATTTGAAATAAATTCCACCTGGTTCCTCTCCTCCTGCCCGGGTCTCAGCATGACCTTTTCCTTTGGCTCCGAAATGCCCAATCAGTGGATGGAGTATTACGACCCAATCGTTCGTCGGGGCCGTGACCCTGCTCAAACATCAGCCCTCAAGGCGCTTCCGATGTCCCGAGCCGGGATTTGGAATTATATGATCTCTACGAGGAAAAGAAAGACGGATGGTCTCTCTCGAATTGCTGCTCCTCCAACCAACCCATAGCAGTGACTCTGGTTTACTATGCTGTTTACCCTTTGGATATCAAGCGTCGACTTCCCTTGGCGAAGCCGCCCATGCTTCATCAGCCATGTACTCTATTGATCCCATCGGACCACATTCCTAGGCGCCGGGGCCACGACTGCGTAGTTCAGTTGAACTCCAGCTGAAAATTGGGAATACGCAGATCCTCTTGCAACATGTGCTGTACACCCGTGCGAGCAATATGCAAAAGCAGGCATTTCTCACGGGGAACCGACTCCTACATACGGGGCCCATGTCTTGAACCTCTGTGCACGGTTCGAACGCCTCTGGAGTGATCTGTGCTGCCCGAACCCAAGGCATTGGGTGCTTGACGAAGCAAGAACCGACGCCATTGCGCCAATGGTGGTGCTGTGCTTGAGCGGGGGAATAGGTCAATGCGTATTGACCAGCTCGTCGGGAGTCGGACAGGACGTACGTTCAATACAGGAATCGCACTTCATTCGGGGTAAAGTACTTGGATTTTCAGCGTCCCAAGGATGCTGATCAGTTGGTGTGCATGTCAGCAGCCTGCGTGGTTGAGTGAGGGGATTGAGGGTATTCTTGAGCTTTGTCAGAGACGAAAATAAGAGGCGCTTGTGTGACTGTGATAGAGAGTGAAGATGTGAGGGGGTCTAGATGAATTAATGGAGTTTGTTATATAGATCCATCGGCATCGCCGTCTAGATGCCATCAGCTTTCTTCACGCTCTCAGACCCTCACAGAGTGTCAGTGCACTGTGTCTGTCTGGTGCTTGATATTTGGCGGGATCTTCGAGTGTGCGGTGGAGTCAGAGGTGCCACTAATGCAGCCAGTCACTCAGTGGATCACAGGCCCAGGGTCCACTGGCCGATAAGATAAGGGCCCAAGGCGGGGGAGCCAAAAGCTTTCGCCGCCCGCACTTGTTCCCGTTTCTTTGTTCTCGGCTTCTGCCATGACAAATATCAAGTGTTCTCGCTTGGTCCATCGTTGTTCGCTCGTCAAGCTAGCAGCAGAGCGAGGCCGCAGTGATTTGAGAAACGACTCAAAATCCTTGCTCAATCTATGTCAAACTATTTGATTCGAAACAGGGATAATGCAAGGACGAAGCATGACGCTTCGGAGGATTTGGCTTGGAATAGGGCTCGCCGAGTGATGTTCGGAAGGCGGAACCCGTGATAAATAGCGCAGAAATCTATCGAAAACCAGAGTGCAAGTACAAGCAGGGCCTGACCCTGTTCTTCGAATTCGACAGAGCAGTTTTTCCCCTGCGTCAAAGATTTGTGAATGGGGGCCTGAAAGGTTACATTCTAGGAGAAACCCCGTGTCAACAGGGCCGGACAAGGGTTCTTTTGTATGCTCCTGAGGTGTTGGTTTCAAGGCTCGGCGCTGGAGGCTGGGTGAGCTTTGACGGGGGTGAAGACTATGGGAAGAGCGAGCTGGTGGAAGCGGTGTAAGGGTAGTGTGATCATTGATGTGATGAGTATGTTGACTGAGAGGTCATTATGGTAGGGGTTATTGGGCTCTGTACGGAGTAGTCCAGAGGGAGAAGAAGCGTCATAGGAGCATAGCACCAAGGAGAGAGTGTCGGCGCTTAATGATAGTCCTGACTGTTTCATAAACTCATCCATCACAAGGAGGGATAGATCATGAAGGTAGCAATGCTGGAAGAATCCGTCTCAGTTGGCTCCGGCTTCGAGGGCGGAGAAGATCGGTTTGCGGGGGCGGAAAGTGGGAGAAACGGGGAATATATGCCGCGAGGAGAAACATGGCTAGCGAGAATGGCGCATGGATGTTGAGTAATCAGGAGCAAGGCGGAAGCGCTGAAGACGATTTGGGGCCGCGGACGGAGGAATGGGAAAGGAGCTGGAGTTGCTTGATTTGGATGGTGAGGAGTGAATAGGAGGTTAAGCGCCAAGACAACGACGCCGCATTGTTGCTAATTATGTCTAATTTCTGGCCTTAACTGTTATAAATAGAAGCACATGTGCGATGAGTGATCAGGGATAAATAAGGAAATGCAGGCTAAGAAGCTAATTAACAGTTAATTCCAGGCCTCAAATTGCTGCTAATTAAAGCAACTTAACAGGGAATCGACAGCACTTAAGCGGTATTTGTCACTCAAAGCTTAACCTTAAGCTAGAGTTGCGGCGAAAAAGGAAGGAGTGCCCCACGCTGATCGCCTGCAGAAGCTCGCCGCACCAGCCAATCAGGGCGCAGCCACTAGCAGAGGAACACTTGGCATCCCGATTGGGACAAACTGAGTGGCTGGCGGTTTGAAGGAAGGAGCAACAGGCTCAGCCAATCAGCACACGGCGTTTCTGCCCCTTTCTCTGGTTTGGCGGCGTGCTGACAAAGATCGTTGTCAATGTGACCTTCGAACAGCGCAAGCGAGTCGAGACTGGCTGCGCAGTCCCTCGACGAGGCCATCTCACGGCTGACGACGGGACGACTATTGAGGAACTAGGAGCTCTCTTCATTTTACTCAATGTCCAACAAGAAGACTGTGTTGCAGGCGAGGATCCGTGGACGCAGCTACCCGTGGTTGCTTGGCACCGGCAGGAGAGCTGCAGGCACAGAGGCTCGATTCTTCAACTGCGACATGGGGCCAACCCTGCTGCTGTTGATATCAGTTGGCTATCATTCTTCGGCGGGATGGTCAGGCACATGTCGGAGGCTCAATCACTCCGCCTTTGAATATGCGCCAAAAATAACCAACACAATATCTAAACTTCCAGTCGACTGCATGTCATTCTCTTCTTCGGCGCTTAACAAGATCTCGCTCAAGGAAAGGGAAACCCCGTTGAACCCTGATTCGAGAGTGGGAGCTCAGCGGTTAAGCAGCGCACAGGGATTGGACGGGCTTGTTTCTTTAGCTGCATGCCGCTAAAACCATCATGCAGCCTATCCCGAGAAGCTCACGCCAACCTCCCTCTTGCATCCCACAGGCCGTCCTATCACACGCCCACATTGCTCGACTTCTTCGAGCCGGGGGGCAAAAATAGTCACCATGGCATTTTCTCCGTCATAGGCCCGTTGCCGAACATGGATCGTCTGGCCCTGGAAGGGTGACATCCGGCCACCACGATTCGCTCTCGTCTTCACCCCTGCTTCCCTTCAACCCCCCAAATCTGGCCACTGAAATCCCCCCGCTTCTGATAAGGTGCATGAGTTCGTTCCATGGAAAAAGATCTAAAAGGCTGTTGGACTGGTGCGATGGATGTACCTCTGCGGTACATCTTTGCTAGACGCGCACCAGTGGGCAAAAATAGAAACGGAAGCTCTTTCTCCTTGCAGATCGAACGCTGTTTCTTAACTTCTTAAATCACTTCCATCTCCATTATCACTCCTAGCAATCATGTCAAGCTTCTGATGCGTGCGGGTGGCCTCTTCACTCCTTGCAGTCTTCAACTCCCCCCGCGCACTTTGTCTTCCTTTTTGCCACTTATACAAGGACCTGCTGGCCAGGTGTTTGTATATCCTTTCTGCGCCTACACTCTTTTCTGCGATCCAGTGGGAGACATACCGAGGGGCTCGACAATTCCCGATATCGCTTTACGACGCCATTGACTGGCTAGTGACAGTATTTTCGCTGCTGCGCGGCCTCCCTTGTTTTTCAATTTGGCAAAAAGTAAAATATCTGTGCTGTTTTCCGTTTTCTTCACGCAGCAACAATGTCGTATCCGCCAATCGCTCCGTCTACCCAGGCTCCCACCCCTCCGCCATCGATAACGGCTACTTCAGACGAAAAGTTTAAACCAAAAAATAAAAAAGGCCGCAAACCGTGCACGAAGGCAATAGAGAAGACTAAATCGCAGGATTCCTCAAGCCCGATCAAAAAAGGGGAAAGGTTGCACAAGAGGTCTCGGTCAGGTAAGCCAAATTCGGCAACCGAAAAAAAGGGGGCCAAAAACATTGTTGAGGCTAAATCAAGATTAATATCTTTATAGGCTGTTTTACCTGCCGTCTCCGAAGGAAAAAATGCGACGAAAGCAAACCTGTCTGCAAGGCCTGCAGGAACCTCAAGTTGAAATGCGAATACAAACGGCCAATGTGGTGGGCAAACAACGACCAACGAAAAAGTCACAAGGAGTTGATCAAAGAACTCATCAAGAACACCAAGTTGAATGAAAGGGGCGTTCCGTCCTCCGCTGCGCGCTCGGTGGCTTACAATTACACTCCACCGGGCCTGTCGCATTCGGTGCACACACCGGATACGTTCGTGGACGGAATGATCGAGACTCGCGACCCATCCTTAGAACCGCAATATCCGCTGGAACACAAGTTCGGTCAATGTCACGGCCAAAACCCCTTTGACTCTCTCGATTCTCTGGATTCTCTTGACCCTCACACGCCCCTTTTCGAGACTGCGCCGTTGTGGACCGCCGCTGCGCCATACGAGATTGATATCAAAACGGAGAGCGAGATATACGTGAATGACATACCCACCCGACGGGAATCTACTATATCCACCTTTAGCATGTTCCAGCCTCCTTTGCCGCACTCCATGTTACCCCCTCTCTCTGACGATAGGTGGTCACAGGAGGAATTTCTTCAGGGCCATCAGGAATCTTTCTTCACAGAAGGCTCTGATTACAGTCCTTTCCAATTTCCACATGCGCCCGTCCACATTTCCACAATTCACGTCGAAGATCGAGACCGTCCGTTGCTGGATCACTTCTTTGAAAAGGTGGTCCGTCTGATCTTTCCGATTCTTGAAGCGAACCGTCCTGGTGCTGTGCGCTCAGAAGTCATACTACCCGCGATCGAGTCAAACAAGTGCTATCTACACTGCTGTCTCAGTAGCACCGGCGTGCACTTGAAAGCCACACAGCAGCTGAACAGTGAATCGATCGATAACGATATTTTGAGGCATCGTTACCAAACCGTCTCGGAGCTTTGTAAAGCGCTGAACGACGATACTAACCACAGCGATATCCTAGAAGCCACGTTGGCTATGATCTTCTTCCAATGCTCCGTTGGTCGCCCAGATGATTCGCTCCCCGACATTCCCTGGCACCAGCATTTCCAAGCAGCGACTAGCCTGATTCACAAACTAGATCTTTCTCGCCAGTTGATCGAAGTGGATCAAGTAAATATACACCCGCCATTCAACATGACCCTTGCTGCTTGGATCGATATTTTGGGTTCTACAATGCTTGGCCAAATGCCGCAATTTGCCCACACGTATCGAACTAAACTCTTCAACGGATCGAGCTCAGGGTTAAGTGACCTCATGGGCTGCGAGGATCGAATCATGTATCTAATCGCCGAAATCTCATGCCTCGACGCTCTCAAAACCGAAGGAAGAATCGACCACCTCGGACTCTGCGGCCACATTACCACCCTCGCCAAACAACTCGATCAAGCCGAACCGCGGCCAGAATCCCTCATCGACTGCTGCGCTGACGGTACATTTCAACCGCGCCAACTCTCAAAAAATATGACCGCACTCTTCTGCATTGCCGCACGGATATATCTCTGCAGCCTCGTCCCCGGCTTCCAACGCTCCCAGCCCAGCACCCTCAATCTTGTCTCCCGCGCCGGCGAGCTCCTCGACCTCATCCCTGGCGGACCCGACGGCTTCGACCGCTGCCTAGTCTGGCCTTTACTCATCTGCGGCTCTTACTCGGTTCCCAATAGCTCGTTCCGTGCCGTGCTCGCAAGACGCATGGAGCAGCTGTGTGAGCAGGCGGAGTTTGGAAGCTTTGGGCGCATGGTGCGGCTGCTTCAGGAGGTCTGGAGGGAGGCAGACAGCTTTGCGATGGCGGAGAGTGAGCAGGCCAGGAGTATGAGTCCGCACGGTGGAGTTGTGATCAAGACGGAGGATGGCGCTCAGCACGAGATGATGGCGATAGCGACCCCGATGAATGATTCTGGTGCTCCTGCTGTGCATTGGAGAGATGTGATGCAAAAGAGAGGGTGGGACTTCCTGTTGATATGATGTGCGGACGTGTGAGATTTCGAAAGAGAAGGTGGTTATTGACGAATGGATACTTGGGAGATGACACCTTACATGAAGAGTTACGCAGCAAATCAAGGAGGCCATGAGCCTCCTTCTATTTTACCATTCAACAAAACGTCTTGGATTACTGGATATGAGATGGAGTTAATGATGTAAGTTATATCTTTAACATTGCCATATTCCCCAGCTTCCCTTTTATACCTCGACCCACGCTGACATGTCGCTGTCAATAGCATTTGTTCCAGTGGACGGTTCCACACATGTACACACTCACTTTACAAATTTCCAACTCTAACCCGAGTTGATTTCGGGTCCTTCTTCTTTTTCGGAGAGAGAGTAGCCCGTCATTATTATGGCGCCTTTTTCCCCAACTTAATTTTTATTTCTAACTTTCCCGGTTTCCTTTTCCCTCCCATCTTTCCTCCTGCAAATCGCATCCTGGAGCATTTCAAGCATAAACTGCATGGAACTCGGATTGGTTTTTTGTGGTTTGTTTTATTTTCATTTCCTCCCCATTGATCATACAACGGCGCCGGAAAATGAATATCAAAGTTTTTCCCCCTTTTTTTCCCTTCCCCCCTTTTTTTACTTGATCACCTAGGTTCTTCGCTGAACCTCACACACCTATCCCCTCCCCCTCCTCTCTTCACCCTTTCTATGGCGTTAATTGGGAGTTTTGGAACATACTGTGCTTTGTGAATATTTACCTTTCTGGCGTATGATGATCAGAGATGTGCTAGGTTGGTGGATGTATTTCACATTTTCTTCTCTTCTTTGGGGACCTCCCTCCCCACCTTTTAACTTTTGGATTTTATTTTGAGTGCTTGATTTGCAGAATGAAGCAGGAATAGGGGATGATGTGTGTGCTGTTGATTTGAAGATCCATGGCTATGTAAGGAATGTATGTGAATTGAGTGGAACATGTCGTGTAGCTTAGGCATTGCAAACTGGATACATAACTACAGCTACAATGACAATTATGACTTATACAGTTGAATGGCCTGGCTCAGCATGGTACAAAAAGTGAAGTTGGCCTTTTGACACTTCTCCGCTTCTCTGCCTAATGGGTTGGACCAATATAAGTATTACCTTCAAACACCTCTAATAGAATAATTCTTTTCTAGAACTTTTGATTGGCAAGCCAAAAAAAAAAAAAAAAAAAAAAAAAAGCTGTCTTGTTCCAAACATATTTATTTATATATACAGAGTATAATCCTTAAACAAATCAGTGAGTCTCTTAACTATTTAGCAAGTGTACCATACTTTGGCTGATTATTCTAATCAGCAATATCCCTCAAGCTCTCGATATTAATGAATGGGCTCGCCACGACACTAGAACAAACTTACAGTATGATTTTTGTAGTGAGCCATGAAGCATATTAATACAAAGCTCAGCTTCAGTGCATGGAATGGTTGAGATAAGAAGTATTTATTCAATCATGCTCCGGCTATAATCTCAGATCGGTGAAAGTAATTTTGGGTACATCTCCAAATTATATGATAAAACATATCAAAGAGTCCTAAGGAATAATGAAAATAGTGGTGGAAAAAACAAAGCCCTTGCAATATTATCATCGAACAGGGTAGCATAGCATGTTTAAGAAAGGAACGCAGGAGAAGCGGGATTATTCAATCTTACACTCCATTAATCAACTTTCCCGCTCCCACCGCCACTACCAAGCAATCCTTCCTTTCCGTCAAGATGGAAGAATCCCCCAGAGCTGCCTCCGACGTTGCCCAATAGACCGCCGCCAGATCTACCTCTTCGTAGTTTGCCTCTAGCTACGCTTGAGGCGACGATAAGAGAAGCGGCAATCAATAGAAGTGTGATGATTGGGTGAGAGGTGATAAATGTTCGGATGGAAAAGAAAATGCTTTCGAAAGTTCCAACGGTCGATTTGGAACTGAGTTTGCTAGGAGACGAAACGACGTGGGTAATGGTTTCTAAAATGGACGTGCGGCTGGGGACAATAAAACCTCCATTTGGCGTGGTATCCCAATATCGGCGATTCTAGAAAAGTTAGCACTGATTTCACTATGATCGACTTATGACTATGGAGTAACATAGTTCGGACCAGACATACCTCTTCATCATTAATGATAACACGTTCTCCATTCCTAACATCAATGCCATAGGTCGTCCGAATCCATCTATCCCAGAAAATTCCGTCAACCCAGGCAAAGGCAACTTGTTTTTTATCGTCCTCCTTGATAGTAATGCGAGTATTCTTGGCGGCTCTCAAAGCTCGTTGGTCATCGCGATCATCGGCCTCTTCGATGCGCAGTTCTTTTGCATCGCGCAGTTCTTGGCGCTCCAGTTGGAATAGTTTTGTTTGCTTTTCCATCCACTCCATAGCTGCATTTTTGAGTTCCCGTTTATCTTGAATGAATTCATCGGATCGTTGCCTATTGAGGATACCGAGAACAACGTATTTCCTCTCCATGATTTCCTTTGCGTTCGATGCCGTCAGTTCTGGGACGATTGGCAACCAAACTTTTTGCATCCATGTTAAGACTTGCCGGAAGTCTCTCATATCCTTGGGAGCTAGCGCAGTATAATAAGTTGGTCTACCGTCCCTTGAAACAAGGAGACGAGGCCATGTTGATATCTTGAACCTCTCAGCAAGGACGCTGCTGTTGGTCTTGACGAGACGGGCACGGCCGACAAGACTAAGTGTCAATCGGTCCAATGCTGCAAAATCCTCCGAAGTAGTGGCATGGTCGAAGAAGTACAAGAAAATAACTTCTTCGGTCTCTTCCATCTTCTTGAACGCTGCGGCGTCCACATATTGGACGCCTCTGCCGACGACATCAACAGCCTTCTTAGCATAGTTTACGAGATCACCAAGACCTCGTAGTCCTTCATATTCAACCCGCTCGCCTCCACGGAAGAAATACATCGTCGGATAGAGATTAACACGAGCATCTTTGCAAAGTCTTTTCTCAACCTCGCAGTTGACTTCGCCTATATTCAGCTTGCCTTTCAAATCCTTGGCCATCTGGCTCCAAATTGGGGCAAGGGCCTGACAATGAGAACACCATGGAGCGTAAAACTTCACAAACCATGGATCTCTCGTTGTAGTGACGAGTTTTTGGAAGCTTTCTGCCGTTAGAGGAACGCTTATGCCTTGGGGATTGGGAGTCGGTAGCTGGTTATCGGCACCGCGACCTGGCTGTTTTGAAGAAGCGGGTGCACCGTCATCGCCAGCCAAAACTTTGTCATTTTCCTTTGGCTGTTCAGGAGCGGACTTCGCACCAGGTTCCGGCAGTTTCATTTCCGTTCTGGGTCGTGACCCAGGTTTGATTGATTCTAGCCATTTTTCAATGAATCCGCTGAGACCTTTCATATCATTATTCCCTTTAAACTTTTCGACCAGTTCTCCTTTGCGATAGAGGGCAAAGGTCGGCCACTCCCCGACGTCCAATTCCATACATTTGTCTCCGTTTACAACACAGTTCATCGACGCGAACCGAAAGTCGTAATAGCCCTGGAAGGAGTTGAGGGAGGATTCTGGGCTTGAAGTCTGTTTCGATGTGGATGATTTTAATGGATTGGATGTCTAGTGATGGTTAGCAAGCTTGGAGGCTATGATCGTATGTGGCACCTACATAGTAAAATTCATAAAGAGTCTGGAATGTGGGTCGAACGGCCTCACAGAAATGACAATAAGGAGAATAGTATTTAACAAACCTATACGAATTGAGGAGTCTTAGTACTAGAAATAAGCGCGCCTAAACCCCAGAAGGACATACCAGTAACCATCCTTGATACCCTCTTCAAAGTCCGCAGCATTGAATTCTTTCAATGGCGGCACACGTACACCGTCGAATACTGTCGACTTATCCGATCCATCATCGCTAGGTTTGTCATCCGCCCTTTTCTCTAAATTGTTCGACCCGGCAAACACTGGCCGTAAAACGGCAGCTAGAAGGGAGACCGCCCACAAGCCAGTCTTCATATTGAAGAAGGATGCAGTGGCCTAAGAGGCCAATACCGGACCGAGCTCCAGCTCAAAATATGCGAAGCGTCTAGGAGCTGATGAACTCGAAAGATTGAATTTCAGGCACTCAGGAGGCAGGGTAAAGCGGCAGGGACGCGTGTTCGTGGAAGTGCGTGGATATGGCGTATAGGAGAGAGGACGCTTGCACATATACAGACTCCTGTGCGCAGTCCTAGAGCCTGAAGCTGTGTCGAATTTGTGCGTCGAGGCAATGGACGGAAAGGTCAACGTCTTGTGCCAGCTTTGCTTCGTCTTGGATGAATCGACGTTTCGCTTTTGCGAGTCTAGGCCCGGAGCACGTATTAATCCGGTTCCGCGCCTCTTGCGCGGTTGATTATATAATCCGCTTTCTCTGGCCAGTACACAGAACCAATGCCGTGCCTGGACAACATCGACGGCGCTGAGCTCGATATCCGCCGCACCGCGTGCCATTGCTCCGATTACTGCTGCCTGATCTACTCCAGATTGCAACCATGAGGGCCACATTGAGATTACTAGCCAATGTCAAGCCGGGCAGATACCTTGAGCCCTTCGCACCCACCGGTTTAACGGGCCTCACAACCCACCCTAGCCCGAGACCAACTCTCATCTACCTCTACCAAACGACGCTTGAGAAGCTCAAGGCCTTTCCCGAGTCATCTGTATACCGCCAATCGACAGAAGCACTTACGCGCCAACGATTAAACATCGTCGAATCGGTGAAACCAGCAGGTTTTGATTCTTGGCTGGAGAGAGTTAAAGCAGCTGTCGCGGAGAACCCCGAGGCTTACAAAACGGCCCTGAAGCCTGACGGTAGTTATGCGGCATATGAAGAAAAAGGGAAGCCTAGCGAGGAGAAGGACTGGGGTGGAGAGTCTTTCAACCCTCAAATGGAGGGAGCATATCTCAACGAACAGGAGATGGAGGCTCGGGTAAAGGAGGCCCAGGAAGAAGCAAACAAGCAATTAGAACCGAAATTGGAATGGGAGCCAGAACCAGTACTTGAAGCGGCACAGTATGTTTGATACGGAATGTCTACGTTGGGTTTTATTGGACGCTAACGAGTCAGAATCTCTGATATCGAGCAGCAAATTGGCAGTGGGTTAATTGAGGAAGTTATTCAAACTGCCCAATCCGAGTTGAATCTGGTTGAGGAGCTAGCTAAGCACAAGGTGTAAGTTATCCCGTTATTCTGGGAAACCAACAAAACAACTAACGCCGCCTAGCTGGGAGGAACTTGAAGAGAAGCCTAAACCCGGCCAGTGGACTTACTTTGAGAGAGGAACCTCGAAAGAATCATAGGGTAGAGTACCGCTTTGCGAGAAAGGATCTGTAACGGCCTACATTTACGGAATTTATCAATCATATCTACCCGCGGCCGGTACGAGTGGTGGTTACAGATGTATGTACTGTACATTATCACATTGAGTTCCCAATATCCCAGGATTTGACAATGGTGCAAGAGCTGTCCAAGGGCTGGCGCTGGTTTTTGCAAGGGAACTGCATCTGCAATGAAACATCTGTTCATAGAAGATGTGCAGACAGGCAGGAACTTGCGTGCTTCAATATACAATATCCTGTAGTCTAAAAATAATTCAATTGCGAGTCTGTAATCCAGAAAGTCGCTTGAAGAGCCTAAACTTGTGGTGAGAGCCATAGGTGGCGCTTAACCTAATTTGGACAGCTGGGAACATCAATCCAAATCGAGTGCACAAGCCTGCGAGTGTGGACAAGTTGCATTGTTGGTGAGATTCAACAACAGCCTGTGAACAACCCCAATTACTTTCTCCCCAATTGCACAACGGACATACTGAAGCCTGCGATATAGCCCGAGCATACTATTTGATCCAACGCGCTATCATTCCTGCGGCTGGTGAGCCGCCGCACTCTACACCCACGGAATCCCCACAGAGGGCCGCTCACCATGCGGTTTGATGTCAAGGTGCGCCGATTACCATCATACATTTGAGATCGTATATCCAACTGTGGGAATTGTACTAAGTAAACTATAGAGACAGCTCTTTGCCCGGTCTGACCGGGTCAAGGGGATCGACTTCCATCCTACAGAGCCATGGGTAAGTAAGGGCACTTCCGATTTAGAATCTACAGATTTTGACAGAAACATTAGATTTTAACGACCCTTTACAGCGGTATGATGCGCCGAACTACTGAGCCGCGTCTTGTTTTGACACTAACTATATTACAGGTCACGTTTATATTTGGTCTTACGAGACTCAAGTAGGCACTCCGCCCGACTTCACCATAACTCTAGCCGCTAATACGACTTTTAGTCTATCATTAAAACATTCGAACTCACAGATGTCCCCGTGCGAGCCGGCCGTTTCATCGCAAGAAAGAATTGGATCGTTTGCGGTTCTGATGACTTCCAATTACGCGTGTACAACTATAACACCTCCGAAAAAATAATCTCCTTCGAGGCCCATCCCGATTACATCCGCTCTATCGTAGTCCATCCTACGCATCCATTCGTATTAACTGCCTCCGATGATATGACCGTCAAACTCTGGGATTGGGATAAATCATGGAAATGTGTACAAGTGTTCGAAGGGCATAGCCACTATGTTATGGGTTTGGCCATCAACCCGAAAGATTCAAACACATTCGCCTCCGCCTGTCTCGACAGAACGGTCAAAATATGGAGTTTGGGTTCTTCACATCCCAATTTAACGCTCGAGGCCCATGAAGCTAAGGGCGTCAACCACGTCGATTATTACCCGCATGCCGATAAGCCATACCTCTTGACCACTTCCGACGATAGGACCGTCAAAGTGTGGGATTATACTACAAAGGCATTGATTGCGACCTTAGAAGGCCACACCAGCAATGTTTCATTTGCTTGCTACCATCCTGAACTTCCAGTCATCATATCCGGTTCCGAGGATGGAACAATTAAGATTTGGAACGCCAATACGTATAGATTGGAGCAATCCTTGAGCTATGGCTTGGAAAGAGCGTGGTGCGTGAGCTATCAAAAAGGGAAACAGGGCGTTGCAATGGGCTTTGATGATGGTGCCGTAGTTGTGAAAATGGGAAGAGAAGAACCAGCGGCATCAATGGATGGGTCAGGGAAAATAATTTGGGCACGCCACAATGAGGTGGTTTCAACAGTCATCAAGGGTGGTGATGCAACTCTCAAGGACGGAGCTCCCCTTACCTTACCGATTAAGGAACTTGGCTCTTGTGAAGTGTACCCTCAAAGTTTGATGCACTCTCCAAATGGAAGATTTGTGTCAGTTTGCGGGGATGGCGAGTATATCATTTACACTGCGCTCGCATGGAGGAACAAGGCGTTCGGACAGGCCCTTGACTTTGCATGGGGCTCCAAAGACAACAGCAACGACTATGCAATCCGGGAATCTCAAACAAGTGTTAAAATTTTCCGCAATTTCAAAGAGAAGAGTGGCGGTCTCGATGTCGGGTTCCAGGCAGAAGGTCTTTGCAGCGGCGTCTTGCTTGGAGTAAAAGGTCAGGGTGGTATTGGAATGTTCGATTGGGAAACTGGCAATCTTGTGAGAAGAATCGAGGTTGATCCCAAAGAGGTTTGCATCCTATCTTCATCGTAGACGGATTTCGTTTTTCTCACTATTATTTAGGTCTACTGGTCGGAATCCGGAGAGTTGGTCACTCTGGCTTGTGAGGATACTTTCTACGTTTTACGATATTCAAGGGAAAACTACATCGCCGGTGTCAACGCCGGAGAGGCCGATGAAGATGGCGTGGAAGCAGCATTCGAAGTCGTTACAGATGTCACCGCTACCGTCCGTACTGGCGAATGGGTTGGAGACTGCTTTATCTACACCACTTCAACCAATCGATTGAACTACCTTGTTGGTGACCAAACATACACGATTTCCCACTTCGATCAACCCATGTACCTTCTTGGTTATCTCCCGCGCGATGGGAGAATATACCTTGCGGATAAGGACCTTACGGTCGTCTCATTTTCACTCTCCCTTTCCGTTGTTGAATACCAGACCTTGGTTCTCCGTGGTGATATGGAATCCGCTAGCGAACTCTTGCCCGATATACCCAAAGACCAAATGAACAAAATTGCCCGATTCTTAGAGGGCCAAGGATACAAAGACCTTGCACTCGAAGTCGCAACAGACCAAGAACACCGTTTCGAACTTTCTCTCAGCCTAGGCAAGCTTGACATCGCCCTCGAAATTGCCCGCGAGGCAGATATCGAACACCGATGGAAGACCGTGGGTGATGCTGCCATGAATGCTTGGGATCTCGCCCTCGCTGAGGAATGCTTCACCCACGCCAAAGACCTGGGCTCTCTACTTCTCCTACACTCCTCAAGCTGCAATGTTGACGGCCTCCGCAATTTAGCAGAGCGAGCAAAAGAGTTAGGCGCTCATAACGTTGTGTTCTCGGCACTTTGGCAACTCAGGGACATAGATGGATGCATTGACCTCCTTGTTCAAACGAACCGCGTTGCCGAGGCAGTCCTTTTCTCTCAGACCTATAAACCCAGCCGGGCACCAGAACTCGTGCTCACCTGGAAAGAGAATCTTGAAAAGAACGGCAAAGGC